TGATACGGCACCAAAATTTGCTAGGAAAGCAGAGCACAGCCCTGATTCTGTCTTCTTGTATATAGTGCCCTGAAACATGAAATACCTTCTTTTACCATGGAAACAACGGGAAAAAACATTAATAAAAATGCATATTGCGTGATCTATATTGTGTTCCTGTGTTTGCATATTGGTTCTCGTTGTTGCATAACCAATATGATGTTTAACTACCAAATGTATTCATGCTAAAATATTGATTCAAATCCAAATTGAGTTGGAGCTACTAAATAGTTTCTCTTAAAGAGTGAATCTAATTGATTAATTAGTCTAACCGAAGGACTTAAAAACTCACAAGTCCCTCTCTCTATGAATCTCCACAGTTATTTCTAGACTACATATTCTATGTAATGCATATGAGGATGAAAATAAGGAAGCAAGTGTTCATATACCTCCAAATTTGATCCAAGAGAAGTGGTGCTAGCATCACTTGACACCATAGCCTCTTCACAAAGCTTTATAGCCTTATGCAAATCTTTCAAATGACCATATTTTGGCTGTCTTAGAAGGCCTGAAACATGCAACATACACTTTTTCAAACTCTCTTACAGACTGTTTCAAAGTAATAAATCATAATAATGATATAGAGTATTACTCGTATTTAAGATACTCTCGTTATGTCACTCTTGAATTAAGACTCAAACAACTTAGAAAAAATTAATTAAACGTGGTTTTCACTGTTACACAAGCCGAGGCCTGAGAGAGTATTAAGGTAATGAAGATTAAGATGTTTACCATACTCATCTAGTGGTGCATCATAATCATAGCTTGTTGAAACAAACGGTCCTCCACTGGATCTCCCAAAGTTAGTTCCTCCATGGTACTAGTTAACATAACCCAATTTTATTTTTCAAGTAAAACCGATGGCATTATCAAAATAAAACTAAAGACTACATTAAAACTGAGAAAAGCATTGTTGATTATATCATTAACAAAGTACCATATAATAGTTTTGGAACGTTCCGTTGCGCTGATAGAACCTAGCAACTGCAAATGCAACGTCTTCCACAGGCCTGTATGGTACAGGACCACCAAATGCAGAAAACCTAAAAGTCCAAAGAATCAATCAGGTTTAAAAGACTTTTATGGTTTCATGGCACTTGAACCACCACTAAGAGCTTATGCTTTTAGTTTGCTCTAATGTCTGCATGCGTGCACGGACACACACACACACACACACATCTTTTGGGGAAGAAGGAAATCTTACCATCCGCTCCAATTCTCAGTCCACATTTTTGGCTTCTTGGCAGAATTAGGCGTAAAGTTATCACAATAGAACCCATTGCAAGTGTTTATCTGTCATTGTTCAAAATATATATTTAATGAGTAAAAGTGTGTTGTTTCATATCATATTGTCAAACACGATGAGCTCTGTGTGTGTGTGTGTTACACACACAACACACACACACACACACACACACCACAACAACAAGAAGTTTCCACAGATGAGGTCTAGGGAGGGTGTTAGGTGTATGCAGATGGACCTTAACCCTACCCAAAGGTAGAGAGGTTCCCAAAAGACCCTCGGCTCAAGGAAACAAAAAACATGTTAGCAAAATAGGAACTTACAATAGGATCAGGAGCATCGGCTTGCTGGCACATAATCCACGGTACCCCTGTGTCCAAAGAGGTAGCCATAGCCGCTGCCCAATTGATGTAAGATTTAGCGCGAGGACCATAACTTGAAGCAACATTACCGTACTCGTTTTCAATCTGCATAATGAATGGATAATGAATGACGTCGGAGTTATCTCATGTCAGCTGAGTTCTATTGAAAGAACAAGTATTGAAGGTATGTTCCATCAACTCAACATGACCAAATAATCATCTTAACAAGGGAGCATTGAACAACTCTCAATTCTTGAGAACTCTATATAGATTGGGTTATTATGTCTACAAATGAAAAAAATTAAGGCTTTGAATTCAACCTAAAAATAAATATTGTAGAGTATGTACTTTTCGACTTCAACGAAGTCCAATTAAACATGTTTTGAGTTAAAATTACAACTATCTTTCAGTTGATCTCAATTCAGCCTAGTGATTTCAGACAAATACAACACACTCATATTAGCAGTGGCCCAAGGCTTGGATATGCCAATATGTGCGAGAACAACAACAACAACAACCCAGTTGAATCCCACTACAGTAGGGTCTGGGGAGGGTGTGTGTACGCAGACCTTGCCCCTACTCGGAAGTAGGGAGGCTGTTTCCAAGAGACCCCCGGCTCAACCTGCACAAAAATATGGTAGAGAACACAATATAACAGGGTAACAGGATATAACAGGATAAAGCACCAAGTACAATGAAATGAAAGTCCAGCAAGCAAAAGTAGAAGATTCCAATCAAACACAACACACTACAAAAAACCTCTGCAGCACCGCGCTCCTAACCAGCTACTTTAATCCTAGTCCGCCAAATATGTGCGAGAATAACAATTAAATGTGAGATAACCGGAAAAAGATGGTTACCTGAGACAATATAATTGGGCCACCTTGAGATGCATAGAGCTTTTCTTGCTTCATCATGTTAACAATAAAGGCAGTAAACCTCTGCATTTCAACCTGTAATACAAAGTCTTTGAGGAAAAGGGTGCCAAATCAAAACTGTGAATGCAGCAGAAGGTTGAGGTAGGGGGAAACCTTAAATGGTTCATTGTCGGTCCGAAATTCAATTCCGGGTATAAAGTGCAACCAAAGGGGAAACCCACTGTTCAAAATCAGGCCAAGTTCTCAGATTCATTACCCATCCATAACTAGATTCAAATCTCCAAAAAAGTTTTGTAAAATGCAAGAAAGTACTGATCAGAAATGTTTACCCATAGTTCCACTCGGCACAGACGTAAGGCCCAATTCGTAGATGAACATATAAGCCAGCATCCCCTACCAATTTCACAAACTTCACCAAATCTTTCCTCCCTTCAAAATCAAACTGCACGATTTTGTTAAGATTCTTGGAGTTCCATCTTTATATGTTGAAGAACTAACTCAACCAAAATCTCAAACTTGTGATTGTAAGCCCAGGAAAGGTTTTATAAACGAAGAAATACGGAGTAATCTTCCCGGAGATTCAAACAAGATTCCCCCCAGAAATGGAAAGTAAATAGGAATGGAAATAGAAAAAGTACCTGGTTACGAGTTGGTTCATGCAAGTCCCAGAAAACATAAGTTTCTATGACATCTAAACCTCCATCTTTGGACTTTTGTATCAAGTCCGGCCACATCTGCATTCACATATTATTATTATTATTATTACATCTGCAGAAACCAATTCACATAACTTTCATTGCACAGTTATATCACACATACGTACACGCATTTGACAAACAAACAAACAAACACAAAGAAAAGGGAAATTGCGTGATGAGCTAGCTCTTACATCGGGAGTGCTGCGGGGGTAGTGAATGGAGCCGGAAACCAGCACCCTCCGGCTGCCGTCGATGACCAGCGCTCGGTGGTCATACGTCACATTGACGGCGAACGACGTCAGGCACCGCAGCAGAACCACCGCAAGCACCGCCGCCAGAACCCCACCTCTGTTCCCAGCCATGATGGTGGTAAAGTTGTTCATTCAGAGCAGTAGTAGTACACCTTTTCGACGAAATGCCTGTGTGAATATATTTCTTTATATATATATAATGGCAAAGAAGAGAAGAGAGAAAGAGAGAGAGAGAGAGAGGAGTGGCGGGTTAGTTTTGTGTGAGATGAAAGGTGGTTGCTTCAGCAAGTGGATACCTTAATTGGCTTATAATGTTTGTGTTGGGGTAACTCCAAGAATGTCTTATTGGCTTTTTGTACGCAGTTTTTTCCAAGTTTCTGTTATCTTATCTCTTCCGCATTATTGTTGGGGCGGAAAGGGGAAGGCGCCGCATCTTATCCGTACGACGCGTGACGACGCCGAAAACCAACCGTGCCGCCGCCGTCCTCTTCTTCCGGCGGTTCAATTAGCCTGATACTCCCTCCGTCCCCTAAGATGTTCTCATTTTGACTTTTAGTGGTTTTTAAGGAGAGTTGAAAAAAGGTGAAAGTTTACCATAATACCCTTAATAAAAAATGGGTGGAGTGTATTAAATGAGGTGGGTGAGGTGTAATAAATAAAGTAAGTGGGGGTAGTTGTGGTATTTTAATTGTTAAAAACGAAATGAGAAGATCTATTGTGAACAAAGAAAAAGAACTATTGGGAAGATCTATGGGGGACTTACAGCTACTCAGGCGGGGTCTCTTTAACTTTAATTAGACAGTACGTGGGAGGCGATATAATGTAAGGGGGAAATGATCAAATTATCAACGCAACGGCCCCCTCACTCCCCAAAAGGCAATGAAGAAATTTGTGTTATCATCCTTTTGGTTGTTTCACATTGTGGGCCCCTCCTCAATAGAAATGACAACGGGTCAGGTTTGGATTAGATAGTACTATACTCGAGCTTCATCCGGCGTTTAAACCCAAAACTCGAATCAGAGTCGACTTTTAAAATTCTGAGTCAAAACCCAACTTTTAAACCAAAATAATGATCTAACCCGAATATGACATTTAAAACCAAAACCCGAATCTGCAACTTAACCAATTCGGCATACCTCAAGATCTAATATGCCACAAAGTTATTTCACAACTTGTACTATAATTTCATGGATCAATCCCTTGGGATTCGTTGGAAACACTAATTTTTCAATGAGGGAAAAAAATACTTAATGACTAATTTAATTAGTCGAGTACTTGTATCATACATTCGGATCTACGGTGTTTCCTGCAAAGTCACATGAATATTCAGTGTCGAGTAACTAATTATTTATTTTCGAGTAACAGAATACTCATTTTTGAGTAATTGAATGCTCATTTTTTAGTATAAACGAATTTTAAAGAAATGAATATTATGTTAATCGTAAATGCACACTCGCCGTGGATGTACGAGAAATACTTACAACCGGTTGTAGAGTATATATTGTGTAATTAGTCACATGTGATTGATACACAAAATAGTTCAGCTATAGTACTATGGGAGAAAATAGGAGATCTCTCTCATTTGTTGACTTGGGCTAAAAACGAGAGGCTGGGTCTACGAAGCCGCCATGGACTCTACCAGCTCGCAATTAAGGCCCTAAAAAAATAACGGGTTGAACGAAAATAAGCAGAAGCCCGTTGTCCCGGCCCAAAACAGTCCTCTACAACCGGAATCAAAACTGGTTCTCTGTTGTAGAGAGAGAGAGAGAGAGAGAGAGAGAGAGAGAGAGAGAGCTATGGCGAAGAATCGAGGTGGAGCTGATACAAGGAAAGGGAGAAAAGTCTCTCAAAATCGTACACAGACCAAGAAGAAACCTACAACTGCTTCGGGAAGGGCGGCGGCGATCGTTGCCGTCAACGATGATGAGCTCGAGACCGCCGCTGAATCATCTCATAGCACTGATTCGGAAAAGGGCGGAACTGCAGGAATTGAATTCCTCTCAGAAGAAGAAGATGAGAATGAGGCCGAAAAGGGAGGAATTCAGTTCCTTAATGATGAAAAAGTAGGCGATGGGGATGGGGCTAATGGCAATGCCTATGGCAATCGACGAGGAAAATGCCAGAAATTGGAGAAAAATCCGAGTACTAAGAGGAGAGGAAGCGAAAAAGAGAAACAGGGGGAGAGGGAAGTGAAGAAAGGCAAAGGCAATGCTGGTTCATCTCACCAAACTAAGGCTGAGAAAAATAGTAATGCTAAAACGAAAGCGAATCGGGGATTAGCTGTTAAGCAGGCGAAGGGTGCTGCGAGTCAAGAGAAAAAGAGTAAGCAGACGAAGAATGGGGAGAAAGAGATCAAAAAGAAGCTTGAAGGGAAGAAAGAGGAGATTTTGAAAGTGAAAGAGAGATGTAATGTGAAGAAGAATCAGAAAAGCGAAGTGGAGGAGAGTAGTGGAAACACAAAAATCACTCCCAAAAAGGGGGATGAGAAGACGAATAAGAGGAAGCAAAGGGTGGAAGATGATGAAGAGGTTAGAGGAAAAGTAGCTAAAAAGGTGAAGAGTAGTAGTGGTAGTGGTGATAAGAGCCAATCAAGACAGGGAAAGAAAGATGACAGTAAGAGGAAGAAGAATGGGAAATTGGAGGAAGAAGATGAAGAGGGTATTGGACCGGTTGTAGCAAAAAAGGTCAAGAGTAATGGACAGATTAGTAGGGTGAGCAAGGAAATAGTGGAGAAACGGGATACAAAGAACGAGAAGAAAGTAGAAAATGGGGCAAAGAGAGTTTCTGATTCCAAGGGGAAAAGGAATGACCAAGAGGAGGAGGAGGCGGCGGAAAAGGGAGTTAAGTGTGAGAGCATATTGTATAACTTCCCAATGAGTCGAGTGAGTAGGATAATCAAGAGCGAAATCAGTAATACCAATGTTTCCCAAGAAGCAACTTTTGTTATCAATAAAGCTACGGTACGTCTGAAATCTCATATAGTTTTTTTTCCCTCAAATCTTAGTACTTCCATCCATAATATGGTATATGGTATATGTATGCTTAAGAGGCAGAATATAGGGAGTCATTTTAGTTGCAGTACTTGTCCATGCTTGAATGTTGTGGAGTATCTTCATATCATGAGAATTAAGTCATCAGAAACATTGTATAAATGCATGGGGGAGCTTTATGAAAGATAATTTTGATTCAAAACACTGCTTATACCACTCACAAACTCCCAATCTTAATTGAATGAAAAATATTTGGATTCAAATCAGTAGAATTGTAGAAATGTGGAATCTCCCGGTAAGCCACTTGAAAAAGGAAGAAAAGTGAGCATGCTGCTTCATGTTTTGTTCATATATGGGATCACGGATTATTTATCCGTTTCTTGGAATTCGGTAAAAAAAATACTCGGGTTTATATAGCTCAGAATACTTATGGACTCAAATTTAAAATATTCCAATTTCTAGAAGTCTCAATTTGCAGGTTGTAAGTATTTAGTTTTGACAAAAACAGTAGTCTTTTAGATGTGGTCATCTATACAGAGGGTACATGTCAGTAGTTGTTGGTAAAAGTCTAAAACCACCAATGTTGTATCTTACTATGATTCTTGAGACACTAAGCCTCGATGTTGAGTCCTCAAATTGAATGGACATTAAGGATATCCATGGTAATGGATTTGTACCTGGCATTTGCAATGTTCGGCTATGGTAAATTCAAAGCATTCTCTGCTTTGCTCAAAGGTTATACGTCTTACTGAGTTTGAACTGATCCTAAGTCCTAACATGCATGCCAAGTGTGGTGCATAAGCGTATCTGCCATTAATTTAGATTTTGGCATCTCAATTCTCAAGTCACGGCTAAATGGGATAAACTCCACTCATCTATCTGTTTGCCTCTTTACAGTTTTTTTTCTCAAGTATAAACTTCAACTCTGTGATTTTCTGTGCAATCAATGAAATAGGTATTCCATACTGCTATTTTTTAGGATAGCATTAATTTACAAACGACATGGCTTCGTAAGGATATAATAATCTTCCGCTCAAAAGAATGCATAACTTATTGAGGACTGGATTAGTGCAATGTCCTGGTGCAAATTTATCAAGTAACCAGTGGAAGTAAGTAATTGAAAAGATTAGGATATGCAATTGGCAGTGCATCTATAGATATTCCAGATTCTCAGGGTCTGGAATTTGATGTAATCTTATATATCATTTTTTATGATGTTGAAGCTGGAAAATGGAAAGTGTAGATATTGTATAGTGTAATATACTAATATCCAAGATTAAAATATCATCGATACAGTGAATGGATCATGATCCCTATGATGTCCAAGGTTTTACCTAAATACCTCAGAATGCTATTTTTCAAGTATAGTATCCCAATTGGAAATGGAGTTTGAGCAGTTTAATTACTTAAGAAAGTATCAGCTTTCATTTTTTACGGTCACTTGGTTTGCTTGTTAGTTCTAGTTACTGGTTACCAAGCATACCTTGTTTGTTCTCTTGGATGCGTGGCATGTTTAGTCGGGATATACATTATTTAGTACGGAGTATATTAGTTTAAAGAATTTTAGAACATTTTGTGACGAACTGACGATTGGGCAATGATAATGAAAGTTGTGTCGTCAACACATAGTTCTTATCAGAACTTAGAGGCTTGAGGATGCAATGAAAATACTGTTGGTAAGAGAAAAAACATTGATGCCCCCATGAGGAGATACGGGAGGTTATTAGTGAAGTGTTTGAGGAGAGGTGGGGGGTAGACCTAGGAATAGTTGGGGGAGGTGCTAGGACATGACAATATGACATGTGATTTTTCGCAGCTCACCGAGGACATGATACTAATATGGGAGTTTGGAGGTTGAAGATTAACATTGTAGGGTAATTCTTATATGAGAAATTTAGGGCGTGTTTTCCTGTGCTGGTACTTGTTGGCTAATTGATGATAAGCAGTTTTAAATTTTTTTTGTGGATGAGCTTGAGCCTTACGTGTTTATGTTTGTGGATGTAGGAAAAGTTTCTTGACCTATTCTCCAAGGAGGCCTACGCTTGTGCTTTTTTGGCTCGTAAGCCTTATGTTGGATACGATCATCTCTGTGAGTTCTTCCTTCTTCAAACATTTTCTTCCTACCGAACAAAGTCACTCGGAAGCCTATTGAACTGAGATTTTTATTATTGCCTTGGGTTTTGCTTTTCAGCATCTGTTGTTTGTAAAAGGAAGAGATTTGAATTCCTTTCAGGTATCACACCAATAACAGTATATTTTAACCTTTTTTCTGACCAATATTCTTCATCAACGTCACCTTTCTTTATGATTTGCTAATTTCATGCATTTTCACGTGCATTTTTTTTATTTTTTGGGTTAGATTTTGTACCCGAAAAAATAAAAGCCGAGGAGGCTTTAGCGAATGCAGAAGGTGGTTAAGGAGTTTCTTCTGTGCAATGAAACTAAACTAACAGTTTTGCTCCTATGTAGTCACTGGAGAGGGCTCTAAATGAATTTACTTTTTTGGCCCTTTTTGTTGCTCCCCTTGGATTCATAGATTGCAAGGCTAATTCAGTCATCAGGGGATGGGAAATTTTAGTTCACCTTTAATTGTCACCATAAATAGACTTGCTAACAACTGCCAGTTTGCATCACCATGATGGAATGTTAGTGTAGGCGTTGCATCATTTCTCAACCATTTCCACAGTGAAAAATGGAACACTTATTTTACAGATAAATTATGTTTGTGTCACATATGTATTTTATCTTTATGGCACAAACAACTTGTGTCTGTATAATAAAAAAAAATAACATTTAGGGGGTGTTTGTTTTTCTGCCAGAAGACCTTCTGGCGTCTTTTGTCTGCGCTGCGCAGACGCGCGCAGATGATGGGCTCTGCAGATTGTTTGTTTTTTGGAAGACATTTCACTCAAAAAGGTCTTCCTGACATCTTCTTGGAGAAGACATTAACCAATGTCTTCTAACATCTTCTCCTTTTTTTTCTACTTCTCTTCACCACCACAACCGTCCNCCGTACGCTACTATCATTAATTTATATAGCAATCTACAAACATTAAAAAACAAACCGTCTTCTTCTTGCAAACCGCAGACCTTCGGTCCACCACTTCTCCTGCAGATGTCTACAGTAGTGGTCCGCAGACTGCAGACCTTTTCCTGCAGAAAAAACAAACACTCCCTTAGTGTATACCAACCACTTTAGTTTATCTTTACTTGCAATGTTTCTCTAAGTTAAAAAAAGAAGAAGAAGAAGATGTTACACAAGTGCAATAATGGAAGCAATAATAGAAAATGTTGGCTTTGTATCATCACCCACATGCCACTTGGAGGAAAGGTTTGATTTTTTACATGCCATATTTCCAAGCAAACACCTCTATGAACATTAAATTTTACGTTTGAACCCATTATATATATATATATATATATATATATATATATATATATATATATATATATATATATATATATATCCTAAGCCTAACGACTCTCAACTGGTGCTAGCTGTAATTTGTTTCTTTACCCAAATTTGGTTGGTAAATGAGGAAGAAAAAAAATGAGACCCAAAGTGTGCGTATTTCTATATGAAACGACTTTGATTTTCGAGCTTAGTGAGACCCCTCACCAAACTTTGGGGGGAGGGGTTGACAAGGGAAACCAATGATAATACTCCACTTGATCCCCCCCCCCATTTAACCTCAAGATGGATAGTTTGTGGTGTTTAATAAATAAATAAAAAAATGTGTGGTTTAGATTTGATAAGATGAAGAAATGATATTCGCCGTAATTTTGTTTTATATAAAAGTGAAATTAAATGAGAGTATTACTCTATCCTTAAACTTCACATATTAGTGTGATACTCTAGTACTTAAATAAATTGATTAGCACAACTTTTGCCAAATATCTTAAATCAAAATGCGGAGTTCATTTAAGAATGATTGGAGTAATAATTGTTGTATTCCGCTTTTTTAAATAAATTAAAATAAATTACATTCTAAATGGTAATGAGAATTTTATTTTGGAATGGATGGGGACACGAGGTAATTTAATAGTTTTTATCCCAAAATAGTCTTTACAGTTGACATTTCTTAGTCCCATTTCACAAACTTTGATCACAAATCACGTCATTTTTATTTATATACTAATCTTTAATAATTAAAATGTCATATTGATGAGTGTAAATGTCAAATCTAAAGATATTTTTTTGGGATGAATGAGCTATAATAGAGCTCCCCCCTCGACCTAACGTATACTTCATATTCCCTTTGTTTGGAATATAATTTACTCGTTTATCTTTTTTCTACGTCCGGATTTAATCTTCAAATTTCTCCTATATGTGTTTAGACAAAAATACCCACCCCGTTTTTTCTCCGTCCCAATTTTAATCTTTCAATTTCTCATCTTTAATTATTTTTAGTAAGGCTATTTTCTATCCATCTCCATATAAGTTAAAAGCCTCTCCCGGCCTTCTCCCATCATCCATCCACAACAACAAATAAGGAGTACAATATCCTTTAAATTCCTCAACTCCTTCCCTTTCTCAATAAGATTATTAACACCCAAAACAAAGAAAGAAAAGCAAAGACAAACACAATGAAGCATTTCACAGTCTCTTCTTCCATTCCCTTCTTCTTCTTCTTCCTAGCTGCAACATTCCTCCAATGCTCCACTTACACCACCATACCCATCGCCCATGCACAAGCGGCAGGGACGGCGGCCGGACCGGCCCCGCCGGGTCCGACCAACATAACCGCGATCCTCGAGAAGGCGGGTCAGTACACCACCCTGATCCGTCTCCTCAAAGCCACCCAAGTCGGTGCCCAGATCGACACCCAGCTCAACAATTCCAACCAGGGTTTGACGGTTTTAGCCCCGACCGACAACGCGTTCTCGGGGCTAAAACCGGGAACCCTGAACTCATTATCCGACCAGGAAAAGGTCGAACTGGTTCAGTTCCACGTCCTCTCCTCTTTCTACTCCATCTCCCAGTTCCAGACTGCTAGCAACCCTTTGAGGACGCAGGCCGGAAACGGCGCCGGAGCTTTCCCGTTGAACGTCACCGCCGCCGGAAACCAAGTCAACGTCACCACCGGAGTGGTCAACGCCACGCTGGCCAACACCGTTTACACGGATGGCCAGCTGGCAGTGTACCAGTTGGACAAGGTGCTTCTTCCCGTCGGCCTCTTCGGGCCTCCGGCGCCGGCGGCCGCGCCGTCTCCGAAGAAGTCGGAAAAGAAGGGTAAGGTGGCCGGAGGTCCGGTCTCCGGCGAAGATGCTACGCCGGAGAAGGCGTCGGGTGCGGTTGGCGTGCATGGCATGGCGGTCGTGGCGGTCGTTGGAGTGGCTGTTTCGGTTGGGCTTATGTGGTAACGCTTGTGTGATTGTGCCACGTGGTGAAGTTTAGTCCGTTTGTTGTCAAGATTTGGACGGTGGTGATTTGATGGACTGAGTGCCTTAATAATTAATTGTCTACTGCTCTAGATCGACTAGTTAAAAAGCATTGTAAGAAAATTCAATTTTTGAAGTGTCATTTCTTTCTTCGTTTGTATTTTTTTAATTTACATTCTTGCAGCCCAAAAAAAAATTTAAAAAAATATACTCCCCCGTCCATAAATTATCTTCCCACTTTCCTATTTGGGATGTCCACAAATAAACTTCCCATTTCTTTTTTAGTAAGTTTTATAAGTTAAAAAGACTCAAATACCCTCCCCACCCACTCCATTTATTCTTCTTTTTCTTTTTTCTTCCATCTTGCTTCGCCCCTTTCCTTTTCTTATTCTTTTCTTCTTCCTCTTTTTTCTTTCTTTTCTTCTTTTCTCCCTTCCGTCCAACCACCCTCTCTTCTTCTTCTTTTTTTTCTTCTTCTCTCTTTTCTTCTTCCTACCCCTTCTGTTTTTGTCCAGCCACCTTCTTCTTCTTCTCTGCAGGATCTTTTTCTTCCTCATACCCCTTCTTCTCTCCATCTTCTTCTTCTTCTTCTTCTTCCTCCCCTGCAGCATCATCAATAGGGATAGATCTGATGATTGATTTGTAACCTTGCTCGATTTGGACGGATCTCATAAGGTTGTATTCTATCTCTGCGGATTTGAGGACTCCAATCTAGATCTAATTAAGACGAAGATCGAGATGGCGACCACTTGCTGTGGTGGCGGAGCCGCGGAGGAGCAACAATTGATGGTGGTGAGTTGAATCGGAAGGTAGGAAACTTGGATGGAGAAGCTGGAGAGAGGAGAAGGCTGTGTTTTTTTTAAAGGACTAGACAGGCTGTGTGGTGACAGGAGGATTAGCTAGGGGGTAATTTTGGAAAGTCAAGGTTGTTTTCATTCCACCTAAATTTGCGCACCAAGTCAAAGCGGGAAGATTAATTATGGACAGAGGGAGTATGCTTTTAAGTTGTTGAAATTAAAATTAATTTTGCCAGCATTTTCATGTCTTGTTACACTTTTTAGAGGATGTGGAAATAGTAACTAGAATTAATACAAATCCGTTGGATTCAATTTTTTTTCAATTGAGTTATTTTGAATTTGAAAGGCGAAAAGTAAATGGCTACCACCCCTTAAGCATCTTTTGTAAAAGAAAAAAGAAATAATGTGAAAAAATCCACAAATACGAGTATATATTATCACTCCTATTTACGGAGTACATTATAAATGTAATTAACCATTTATTTATGTGAAATTTGCACTAAATAGGACCAAAACATAATGACTTTCCTAATGTAGGACTTAAACTTTTTTATTCTCTAAACAGGACTTAATAATGACCTAGTGGGAGGAATAATGTCCAGTAATGATGGACATTCACTTGAATAATGACTACTTAATAATGACCAAAAATTCTACATTGAGAAATAAAAATAGATGATCCTATATTGGAAAAGTCATTATGTTTTAGTCCTATTTAAGTAAATTTCTCTTTATTTATGCATAGTATTAATCTACATTGCTACGGAGTACATTTTTAGTATTTTTCCTTTTACAATTTTATTTCCTCCCTTCGTCCAAAATTAAATTATCTATTTACTATTTATAATGTCAAACTTCATTCACTTTTTTTCTCTATTTTCATTAGTCATTTCATGCGATAATATAATCATGCCACCACTAGTTTTATAGATTTTTTTGATGTAGTTTTCAATATGCAATTTTTATACGGAGTATTTAATTCCACACCACTTTTCATATAAAATGATTTGAAATTAACTTCAATCAAATATCGCAAACCAAAATAGATAATTTAAATTGAGACGGAGGGAGCTAATAACCTTTTATATTAATGCTAACTTATTGCAGAGGAAGCACTACTTTTAAATGTATTAAAAAATGTTCAATAGTGTTTGGATGGTAAGAATGCGCACACGTTACCAATATAGAGAGTATATTGTAATAGGGAAAAAAGCTAAAATATGAATAAAATATTGGAAAAGAACCAAAATAAGATGTTCACTTTCTTATCCCAAATTAAGGCTTATAATGTTAATAATACAACATATAGTACCAAAAAATACTATGGAATGCCAATATAGAATGTCACATTGTTATAGTGTAATAGTTTTATTTTAGAAATAAAATCATGTCACCCCCTATTTTGGTATGAAGACCAAGTTTTACCCCCATTTTGAATAATTTCTTAAATGGGATTCAAAGTTTTTAAGTAACCCCTAAAGCTCTTCCTTAGCCCTTGTTTAGTTGAAGGGCTTTGGAGTTTGTATAAAAGAAAACTTTCCAATATAAAAACAGAAGTCACCATAGCAAAGTAGTATTAACAAATTTGGTGTGCAAACACAGTACTTTATATCTTGACAGATGTAAATGCTTTTACAGTTGTTACTATCACAAATATAAAACAACAATTGAAACAAGAATAGGCCAGTAGTTATTATTCATATTCTCAACTCAATAATGCCACTAGAAGGAAGTGATAGTTGCTGAATCACAGAGGATATGAATAATCAATTAAGGGTCAAATGAAGCTCCAATATAAATCACTGCAGTATGCTGCACACAGAAAATTGGGTTTTATTTTATATAAAAAATAAGGGTCAAATGAGGGTCAAATACCTTGCCCATCCATGACAGAAACCAATTAAGGGTCAAATGAAGCTCCAATATAAATCACTGCAGTATGCTGCACACAGAAAATTGGGTTTTATTTTATATAAAAAAAACTTCAATAATTTTCTCAGTTTTTTTCTTTTTCGTTTTGGAAAAAATATGTGGTCCAAAATACTTCTTTCTCTTCTACACAAATTTTAAGCACTAGCTTTTTACCATTCAACACTTTTTTAATCTCGGTGAAGTTAAAGTTAGGAAGTTAATTTTGGGGAGGGAGCATTTGGTAACTTCAGATTGTGTGAAGTGGTACTTGCTGATCAGAATATGTTAGTGGCAAGAGAAAATAAATGCTATTTGATGATTTATTCAGAGGACTCACTTGTATAGATAGGCTGCAATCCCCAAAATGATACACAGAAGAATGATATCAATACAGAAGTTTTGGGTGGACCTAACCTGGAACAAAACATAGAAATGAATAAGATTCTCTAAAACAGATTTTAGTTTTCATTTTAACAAGGCCTCGTTTGGTAGCCAAAACTGGCTTATTCAGTTTATCCAGGTGAATAAACATAACAAGTAGCTTTCCCTTTCAGAAAATTCTGCAGATTCAGTCATTTTATAGCTAAATAACTCTTTCCAAATGGATGCTATCAATAAATACCTTAGTAATAGTCTCCTTGAGTCTAACATTGGTGTTCTTTAAGTCAGATGATGCCTTGTCCACCTAAGAAGACACCAGAAGGGCATTGGAGAACAATAATTCCAATATTCATAAAGAGTGCAATCAATTAATTAATGGTCATAAATAATTATCCAAACCTTTGTTTCAATTTCATCAACTAGTGGAACTTGTCTATCCAATTCCTGGTCGAAGAAAAGGAATGCAAAATCAACAGATGGAGTATAGAAACAATTAGTACATCTCATTTCCCTTCAACTAGACTCCTTTTGCTTTTTGTAGAATATGGAAGGACAAATCAAAAGGGGTTGCGATGTAACCTCGTTCATATCACGAGCCAGATTCTTCAGCGTGTCCAGACCTTCTGAAATAACATCCAGTCCTTGATCCTGCAAACATTCAGATATAGGTTCAGTGATATACTGAAATCGGAGAGGTTCCAGTGCCACTGCACTACGGAGCCACTGGACATCTCGGTGCTCTGTTCACAAAATTGATGGTTCCTACCCCCTAACCCCTGGTAAACCTCCCACCCCGTCAATTAGACCCCTCAAGTTTAGTTGACTTTGAAGTCAAAGTTTTGAAACCAAAGTCACCTAAACTTGGTGGGTCCAATTGACGGGAGGTGAGGGCGAGTTCAGGCTGGTCGGGTGAGGGGTTTACCAAGGGTTAGCGGGGTATGAACTATCAATTTTGGGAATGGGGCACCATAGGAGCCCCAAAATCCCAGTGGCACCGTAGTGCAAGGCAACAGAACAGTGCCCGAAATCGGACAGGTTTCAGTGCAAAACTAATAATTGCCTGAAATAAGCTCATAATGCAAAACATTAAGAAAAACAAATGATGCGGAAGAATAAGATAGAGCATGTTACAAGCCTGTTTCCTCTTCCTCATCTCATACTCATTCCTGAACTGGCTGGATTCTTCAGACTGCTGGAAGAAGTCATCATTAAGGTGCCCATCTGATCTTAAATCTGATCACTGTTAGAGAGCATGCAACAAAACAAAGATTGAAGAGATGAAAGTCTAAGGAGTTACATAAGAAAGTGTCACCTACCCGAGTCAATTTTTATGTTCTTAAAAGACGTTGAAGTGCCCCAAACCCCAGACTTGACTGCAGCAGTGGTAGTAGTTCCATCAGGTATAGCTAGGATTCTTTCGGGTAGTGCAAGTACAAGGTCATTACGTATAGCTAATTCATCTCGCGAGACACCTTTAACCTGTTGGTAGTCCCAATTTCGTTATACCTTCCATTTTCACTTCTAAGAATGAAGCAAATGGTCAGATAGTTGATAAACCATGTATGGTTTGATACATCAAAGCACCATAATGCATAATCCTGGAAATATATTTCCCCACAAATTGACACCACATTGTTAGTGTATAATATTTTTCAAGCCTACAACCATAAGCTTCACTGCTTTAGCTCTTGGTTGAGTTGACTCTTTAAAAGATATCGGAGTCATGTTAGCCTAAAGTTCACGAGTTCGAATCTCCCTATCACCCAACTTTAAAAAATAAATGTTCATGTGAAGCTTCAAGTAAGAAAAACAAATCTCGTATGCATGTAAGGGGTTGTGTTAGAATGTATTCTATAATATTTACTGGGACTAGACCATAAACTTGAGCTTTTGATTGAGTTAATTTCTTAATCAATATAAATTGTTTCAATATACCCGAATGTATTGTCATATATGAATCTCACAACAATTTCCTGAATTCAAAATATGAAACGGTAAATGAACCACATGAAAATGCCGAAATGGATATGAAAATACAGAATTGGAATTAAAAATCAAGGATAAATAAGCCAGCAAATAACTCCACCTTTTTAAGAGCGAGTTTCTGCAGCTTGGGGACTTCTTCCAACAAACGCGCCTTCAATCGTCGTACCTCCGCCTTCATGGCCACCGCCGCAGCCCTGTTGGTCTCCCTACCCGCCATCTCCGCTTTCTTCAAAGCATAAAAAACACAAAATCCATCAATCATCGCGATAAATTGTTTCACAAAGCGTCAATCAGTAATAATTGGATCAGAAGAGAGGATGACCTGGAGAGCAAGGTCAATTTGGGAATCGAAGGAGGCGTATAGGCGAGCGAAGGCATCGTCGGGGGACGCGTCGGCGGAGCGCTGCTTCTCGACGTCGTACTTCTCGTACTTCCGGCAGACCTCGTCGACTCGGAAGAGAATGTCGATCACGCTCATGTTTGCGCCGGCGACGGAGGATTTCGTAGGGAAAATCGGGAGAGGAATGAGATGGAAACTGGTTCTATTTCTCCCTTCATTCCCCGCATTGTTTCTCTGTTGCGAGCCACTGCTCGTCTGCGGGAAAACGAATGGCTCGTCGTCTAAAGCGCATCAAAGACTCGAGAGTAGAGTTGGACAGGATTGAGGTCCGGAACCAGTACCGGGTTCCGAGACCCGACCGGATACCGTTTCGGAGGGGGCAGGCCGGGGAATTGAAACGAGACCCGATTGGGGCAGTGGCGGCTCCGGTCACCAATATTTTGTCCCAGAACCGACTGTTTTTTTTTAAATAAGAATTGTACACATAATTCATGCAAGTAGAATTGGAATTGAGGACTGCAATTCCAAATTTTTACTGTTTGGTAGCAGAAAAATATATGGATTTGAAATTAGTAGTGTAAAAAATAAATTGAAATTGGAGAATTCAATTCTATCCAATTCAATTCTATAAAATTGTAATTACAATTCAATTCCAATTTTGACAATTCTGAGTACCAAACGGACCCTAATTAAAATTCTAAAAGAAATGGGGAGGAGTTGACCAAGAATGGTGATAAGAAGACTAGACCGAAATCAGAACTGAGCGTACCCCGACTTAGTACCAGTGTCACCCCTAGTCGGTATCGGGAATCGACGGTTCAGAAACCAGAATTGATTCGGACTAGTCAAAGAGAGGATATGTACCCAAGGACCAGGCTTGGTTCGACTGAGAAGAGATGATGGACACGTTTAGCAACAACATTAGATGTTAGAGTTAATATTTTGATAATACTACCTCTGTCCAGGAGTATTCGTCCAATTTTGACTTTTGGAACTGTTCATCAAAGCACTTTGACTCATCAAATTCTCTCAATGTGTAAGCCTAAATATAGTCATGTGTGATCTTGTTTGATTTCTCTTAACATACAGATTATTAATATATAATTTTTTAATATACAAATTACAAGATAAAATAAATTAAAGAAGTGCATTGGATGATGTGCAAAAATGAAAGTGGACAAATACTCTGGGACGGAGGGAATAGTATTTAATGATAGTGTTTAACTTTAACGTTTTCAAAAGTCAATATGTACCTCTAAAATTTTATATAAAGCACCGATGTTAATAAAAAATATTGTTTTCAAACAAGGCCGATGAAACTATGGAAGTAAGTATTGTTTGAACTTGGGCGAGCTATTACAACGTAGACATCCAATGTAGTATCTTTTCAAACTAAGAAAAGGTTCACATCTAAAATCATTAGGATGGTCTTGCGACAAGCCAAGGAGAAGCTCGTAACAAAAGTTTATTTCTTAACAAAATAATTAATTTACACTTATTGTTCCATGAGTAATTTAATTTTTTTTATTTTTATTGATTATTTTAAAAAAATAATATAACTATTTTACTGTTTGGTATATAATTTTTAAATAAGTAAATTTTATTTCTTTCTGCATTGATTTTATAATAAATTAAAATAACATTAGTTAACATCATAATCTGAACTGCCAATAATTTTGAGATAAAGAGAGCATCAAAATTGACATATTATACACTTTTTTTTTTAGAACAAAGGAGAATTCATTAAACTTGAACAAGAGCAGAAATAGATTCTAGACACCGACGAGCGACACAACCCGTCTAGTAAGGGCGTGAGACACAAAACATTCAAAGTACGGTGAATATATAAAAAGAGCCCTACAACCAGCAAAAATAAGAAAACATAACCAGTTTGTTGAAGTGCAACACCATCTGTTGATTGTCGGAGAAGAGTCTCACCGACATAACACTGCCTCTAGACTTTAGCCACGATAGAGCCTCACGACATCCCATACATAGCTTCCACGAGAATCGATTATTGAGGTTGCAAGGGCTCAATCCAATTCGTGATGATGATCGATTACACACTTGTTGATAATTGGCGGTTCAAACGGTGGCATCGCCATTAGTGTTGGAACAGAATTCTTACGGGTTCAAATCTAATAGTAAAACGTAAAGAAAAGAAACATTTTGGGCATGTACAAGCAAATTAAATAGGTTGATGACAACTTAGTTAGGGTTCGATCACTCCAACCTTTTATCAAACGAAAAATCATTTTGTTCCTCCACATTGATCTCATGTTGGGATGGGACCACACGCGATGAGCCTGTGGGCCCATCGCCAGACGGTCCCCCGTCTCTGCCAATGTCAAAGAAGAAACGCGGGGGGGATTGCGAGTCACCGTTGTTCCCCCAACGCTCGTCGTCAAAATAAGATTCGTGCGGCCACGCCGATTGAGTCGCGGCCGCGGAGGGCGAATCGGTCATTTCGCTGCGGTAACGGTTGCCGCGGAGGAGGTGCACGGGAGACATGCCGTGGTGGGACGGCGTTCCCGGCCGGCTCGACATCGGGCTCGCGGTGGGGCTGGTTTTCCTGCTCCGACTCTCTTTGACGCGCTTCCTCGCGGTGTGGTGCCACTCCTTTAACGCCGTCGCTATTCTCTCATTGAAGACTGTTGGTTTCATCTTCGAACCCATCTACATAATGTAATTAACATAAGAAACAGCATTTGCACTAAATTACAAAAAAAATGCATTAAAAACGATAATCTTCACGTAAATAGTACTTCCTACATTCCAGGATTACTGTCTATTAAGAACTATTAGATGCATTAAGTTTTGAATGAATGTAGACTTAAATATGTCTACATCCATTCAAAATCTAATGTATCTAATAAACCTTAATAGACAGTTATTTTGAAATGGAGGGAGTAATTAGTACTCCGTAATAATCAAATGGCATACCTGTGTAACAAGGGCATATAGAGGCAGGGTAACATAACTGCATAAGACTTGAATGAGAATGCTGAATCAAAAGCCACCATAATTTTGCGCACGTTAATGAATCAATTTTAACTATAGTTAGGAATGCCACTAAGCAACTCAACAAACTAAACCAAAAACTCAAATTTGTGGTTGAAGGTTCGGAATATTTTTATACTATTCTAATAAGCAGTAATAATAAATTAGGATAAAATTTAAATGAAACTACTTAATAAAATTTATCAAAAGTGAACTGAACTAAATAAAACTGAAAATTAAAAACATGTTGAGAAAAAGAGAAAATAATAAGCTTACCCCATTGTGATTCTGATTATGATATCCTCCACATGCTCATGGAAACACGACCTCAGCCCAAATTCATACTGGGAACAAATAAACCAACACCCAAAAAAAGTTAAATTTAATTTACCTTCAATTCCTTTTAACAACATTCATGCCATCATATATGGCTAATTGCATGCACTGGCATATATATTTACCAGAGTCCAAGAGAAGAAGGCGAGTTGAAAGGCATTCTGCACATCGATTAATTATCGAATTGGTTTATTAGTAAATTCGAAACGGTTATTTAAGAGTAATTAATTACTTATTGATAGAATATAATAATTCCACAAGCATACATACTTGGAAAAGAACAAAGTTGAGGAGAAAGAGGAGAAGACGAGGACGATTGAACCAGAAAAGGTCATCTCCAGGCTCAACCACAACAACTCCTTTCACCACTTCAGTCCTTTGGTGAATCCTTTGGCCCATCTTTGTGATGATCACTTGTAACTTGGTCCCAACCAATAAGATGATCTGTATGTATGTTGTCGTTACAAGAAATATACTCCCTCCCCGTCCCAAAAAGAACCCCACAATTGGATTTTTTGTCAAACCGTGCAACACTTTAATCACAAAATGAACCCAATTTTACTAAAATTATAACTAAATATACTTATTTCATAATTTGTGGTTAAAGTGTAACTCAGTTTGACTAAACTTGGCATTTTTTACGGAACCCAATCTTGTGGGACATATCAGAGATAATTCCAACTAACAACCACTTTATATAATATTCCTCTAACCGTTTGAGTTACATAGTGATAATAAAGTTAATTATTGATTTTTTTATCTAGTCTATGAATATGAAGTTAGTTCCTCACTTAACAGCCTTAATTTCTACTCCCTCCACTATATACCATGACCTTATGTATAATAGAATCCACTCATTTTTGTTATAAAAGAGAGGGTTAATATTGCATATAGAAACCATAGGAACGAATGTGAATAGAAGCAATTGATAAATAAAGAGAAATATCAATTTGTATGATGTCTCATCAAACGAAGTATGTTATGCTAAGAGACCAAAGAGACCAATTCGGAAAATTGGATGCTCGTTATTCCTAATTTAATTTCCTATGGAGCACATTTTAAGTTTGACATATATATGTAGTTGTCTAGGAGCAAGAGCGCAATAACTTACAATCAAGGGAATGAATGGAAGCCAAAGATAAGAATACCAGCCTGCACTCCAATTCAAAAAAAAATTTATATGACACAATTAATGTTTGTTAAGGAACACAAGTTAAATAGGAAAATAATCCTTCAAAAATGAGCTTATTTATCTCCGTTGATAACAAATTAGTAACAATGTTGATAATATATCATTAAAGAGGTATTTCTTTTTAAGAGGTATTTCTGATAACTTTCAAATACTCGGAATTTGTTTACTAGATATATAAGGTGAATAAGTATATGTGTACACAAAAAAAGGTGAACTATTAAATCCCATATATAAATTTATTTATTTATATATCATTATTATTTGTTCTACAAGTACTACTCTCTCTGTCTAGATTTAATTGTTTACTTTCTTGTTTTTCTTTGTACGAAATTAATTATCCACTTTTTGATTTTAATAAAGAAATTATAATAGAGAGTATTATTTAAAATATACTACAGAGATTGTATGATCATTTTTTACATTAACGACCAATAAAATTATTTGAATGCTTTATTTGACATCTTTAATTCATTTCTTAAAATGATATTTGAAAAAAAATGGACAAATAAATTCGTACAGAGAAAGTACATTATCTAAAGTGCTTACCATGAGTGTTGAAAAGAAGGAAGAAAACCGCGAAAAGCCACATCGGAGGACTGTATGTACATGAAACACAAAAACACACAATGCACAATTGTTAACAAGTTGCACCCGATATATATCGTACAACTAGTTGTATGATATCTCTCGTACATTCGTGGCAAACATTCATTTATAAGTAATACGGAGTATAAAATACTCACACCGCATATAAAAAAACTACAAGTAGAGAGCATCAAACATACAAGGCATACAAAACACAGAATAAGTACATAAACTACACCCGAGGCTAAAACGCCTACCCACCCACTCTTATCCTAGCTCTCCAAACGCTCCTATCTAAGGCCATATCCTAAGTAAGAGAAAGAAGTCCTAAGTCCTGTCTAATCACTTCCTTTCAATTCTTCCTAGGTCTACCCTTTCCCCTACTCCCATCAACCAACATAAGTCTCTCGCTTCTCCGCACTGGGGCATCAGCATTTTGCCGCCTCACATGTCCAAAACACCTCAACCTAGCTTCTCGCAACTAATCTTGAATGAATATAATTGCATGCATGAGAAATGTTTGTAATAAAAAAAGGTCACAAAATTCACAAACTTACTATATTTGTGAACCGCATTAAAAGAACAAATGGTTTCAAATAATTAAAAAAATAGAAATTTAAATTCAAAAGTGGTAAGTTTGTGAACTTTATGACCTTTTTGTATGTGACTCTAGCAAGGATTCAATCCAATTGAGGTCTATTCGATAGTGGGCAGACTCTAGCTAAGGTCTGTCGTATTTAACAGTTATCACACTTTAGAAGCTTCTTATAATTAAGTTGAAAGTAAAAAGATTCTTACATGATTTCAAACTCCAGTATCCAAATAATAGTTTAAATAACATTGTATCCAAACTCTAAATCAAACTCAAAATTCAAATTTTCAAACTCTATATCACAATTAAAATAAAGAAAAAAAGAACAAATAGTAGAATGGCTATATAGTGCAATTGTGCAAGCAGAATGAAAAAACAGACCTGATTCCAACGACCACCCTGAAATCTTTTTCAAGTGATCTTTTGATGTAATTCTGGAAATCGAAATTTGCCTGGCTTTGAGGTGCCAAATGAGCCTGAAGATGTAATAACCTTATTTTTAATGTTTCACTCAAATACTCTATAAATTCTTTTCTAACTTTCCTTTTTCATTCGTTTTAAAATACTAACTTTTTTCTCATTTTATTTATGGAAAAGAATATGACCTAAATTATTTTTCTCCCTTCTAAACAAAATATAATTATTCACTTTTCTTTTTTCTTTAAATATTTTTCTTATTTTTTTATGAAATCAAAGTGAGAAAATTAATTTAGGACGAGATCATAGGACATATCTATGCTTATACACACACATATATGCATGTATACACTCCTTCACCCTATAATAAAATTTACAGTTTGACCTTCAGAATCTTTAATAAAATTTACCGTCACATATTATTTGTGCCTTTTCGAACAACATGCAAAATTTATCTATTCATAAATGATTTTATTTACAAATCCGTATTGAAATAAAACATACTCCCTCCATCCTTGAAAACCTTTCTCCTTTTTTTCATTCGTCCCAAAAAATTCTTCTCATTTCTTTTAAAAAGTCATGTTTACCTCTACTAATTTTTAACCTACCTACCACATCGATTCTATTCACTATTAATCTACCTATCAAATCCTACTTTTACCTATCACATCAAAGGACATTTTTGGAAACTCAACACCAAAATACACTATACTTAAATCCCTTAAAATCAAAATCTCCTATGTTTTTAGGGACGGAGGGAGTACAACTTTCATATTTAAACAATACGTACTATATAAAAAGTTCTACAAAAGAAAAGGGTGGCGTTTCTATTTTATTTTATCAAAAGATCAATGAAAACGCATACACAAATAAAAGTTATCAGAATCCCAGAAGAGTAAACATGCCATCTTTTTGGGAAGGGGGGAGTATATATTTAATTATCGATAAATACATAAATCTTACTCCGTATAAGCACAACAGATGCTAAAACTACATTTTCGATCAAAATCAATTTAATGGTGTTAGTGTCAAATTATAACTCAATGTATTTTACCTTTAAAAAAACTCTATGTATTTTATATATACGTAGTAATGCATTATTAGTCCCAAAACAAAACCCAATGTATTTTTAATATAATGCATTAATTCATACCATGATAAATCCATGCCTGAGAGTTAGATAATCAACTTTTGGAACCGAATGTATAAATTGCCGAAAGAAACAGACCTGAAAAAGGAAATCACAAACACATGCAGAAGAAATGAAATGTAATAACTCTAAAAGTCAAAATTTGTACTATATGTATATATATGTATACACACACACACACACACACATATATAAGGAAATGTTATTATATTTAGCCTTTTAACTTGATTGAATTTAATTCCACCAAGTAATTATCTCACAAACTCTCCTCTCGAGAATAATGGAATACGAACGATTGTAGAAAAGAAAATATTGAACTCAAGATTAATCGGAAAGACTTGCTTATTCATGCGCCTTGGGGGAGTATCTATAGCCCTCCATGATTCCTAATCGTGACCATCTCTTCATGGGATTCGATTGGGTCTCATTAGGAAACTAGGTAAACCTCTTCTCAAGTTACTAACCCTAGCAAGACTGCAAGACACGGCTCCAGACCATTGGAACACACCTCATGGCCCATGCGGGTCATGTGTTGTCTACGGATTCGGACCCAGCTTGCTCCTGTCGCAACTCGGATACATGTATTGGGCTAGTTACATGAATATCTATCTCTTGGCCTAATATACCCATCATAACTATAGTTTTTACTAGAGTGCTGCAACATCCCATCAAACATCCTATAATACCTAATAGGAAATATTACTTATGCAGAAATTGAGGATGCAATCTGTCAAAATAAGAACTAGAAACTGAAAATACTTGTTGAGATTTATTAATTATTAATTACCCACTAGTATGAGAAGTCCTAATCCAACTTGGATCAAAATTAAGAAAGTTGTATGCAAGTCAACTTCTAGTTTCCTATTCCAACTATACTCCATTTTTATAGGTTATTTTTATGCAATATTGCAATAGAGGACCTAGAAATCAGTGGAGCAAACGAGAGGGAAAAAATGTAGAAAACATGCTGATCAAAGAGAGTTCCCTGTCGTGTCCTGGAGTCATCCTTGCGTGAAGATAATTGCAAACAACATAAAGAAGAAAATAGTCAATGTATAAAATTTGTGATATCCAGAAGCTGAACTTGAGCTGAACGGAAGGCTGCCAACCATGTATGTCTGTGAGGTATGATAGCCGCGCGAAGCGAATTTATACAACATACAGATTAGAAGTCCTAGATTAGAGGTTTTGGCATGACAATTTGGAGAGTTGAGCAGCATTGCATGTTGTGTATGATCAATGTAGCTTGCATCTAGTGATTTAATGGAGTGCTATTATACGGAAAGGACCATCTCGCAAAAAATATAGGCCTGGCACTAAAATAAAAATATGGGCCCTCGTAAGTATATTTCATTACAATAGATTATTGTTTTTTGATAAAGTATTACTACGTACAATAAAAGCACTAAAATATGAACTTAAAACAATATCACTTGAAAAGCTTTTTCTCTGAGTTGAAGCATATTCTTAAATCAGTTGTTTAGAAGAAATGTCATCCAAACATTCATTGCCCATGGCTACTAAAGCAACCCAGTAAGTCCTTCTCATGATATAAAACAATGCACATATGACCCAAGTAACTTTAACTTTGAAAAACTTTCTTCAATGGTTTCAACAGTAACAATATCCAAAATGCAATTGCATTACCAAAGCAATCAACAAGTTTCAATAGTTTTAAAGTATCAAAAACCTCTAACTTCTTCAAACAAAATGTGTTGATGTAATTTCAACTTCGATCACATGCGAGTCATAGCCATTAATATCAAAGTTGAGGCGTGAACCCAATTGAAAAGTGGTATCTAGAGCCGCGAACCTAATTGAATGCAAAACTTAGTTATCATATCTATGTTAGATGGTGCAAATCAATGTGGGCCATATATTATTACCTAGAACCAATAAACATTTGTAATGATGACCTAACACCTTCAAATACCACAACGAATGTAGTGTACAAGGAAGTCTTTCAGAACCTCTAATTTAGTGTCTTTTTGTTTTCACTCTTAATTCTTCAATATTAGTATGTAATGCTTTTAATCTTTATATCAAATATAATTTTGTTTCATAGTCTTTATATATACTATAAATTTAATATATTATTTCTTTTCACTATCTCAAAATATTGACCGTGCAAAGCACGGGTTAGAGATCTAATTAATATCAAAGTTATCATCATTCTTAAGTTTATCTTCTAAATAACTACAAGAAGAATCTAAACTCGAATCATCAATTAAATGCAATTATCTAAAGGACAGACTTTAAATTGAATAAAAATCAAATTGTCAAAGGTAGAAATGTAGAAGAATACTTTTGATTTTGAGAAGAGCTTCAATGTTTAATATTTTACCAGCTAGAACTAACCTAGACAAAATTTCTATTGAGGATCAATTAATCAAAATTGGAACAAAATCAGCCTCGCAGAATGAAGCAATTGAAGCAAAATAAAAAACATAAAGATTTCAATAAAATTGACAGTGGAGTGCACAAAAACTAGACTATCAAAAATAAAAATAAAAAAAACTCAATTCTTTTTCACCTTCTCGACGACGTTCGGACAGTTGGTAGTTGATGTGGCGGTGAAGCAACCAGGAAGCAATTGGCACAGGTCAAGCTTCGGAGAAAGGCCGCCGAGTATTGGGTTTTGTCTGGCTTGGTTCAATGGAGATGGCCGCCGGAGGGAAAAACCAAGATAGTAATCCGAGGACAGAGTAAATAAAACAAAGGCTCCTTAACAAAATTTTTTGCCTTTTGATACGATATAGAATAAAACATAATTCATAAATTTATTTCTAGATAGATGTTTTAAAAAATGAATTGTTACTCATATTAGCCTCTTAGAGCCTTTTCATTGGAACTGGAAAAAAAAAGTTGGATGTTGGAAGAAACTGAAAGAAACTAGAAAAAATTGGAAGGAACTGGAAGAAACGGGAAGAAATTGGAAAAAACTGGAAAGAATTTGAAGACTCTGAAAAAACTTCAAAAAAAATTTGGAAAAACTAAAAAAACTTTTAAAAAATTTATTTTAAATTCTTGTTGTTATAAATTATTATTATTATTATTATTATTATTATTATTATTATTATTATTATTATTATATTATCATCATCATAATGCCTTATTATATTACTATTATTATCATCATCATAATCATCATCATCATGTTATTTTAATGAATGCCTTTAAGATACAAAAAAAAGCATTGTTATTTTTCAAATACAAAAAATTACTTTTTCAAAAAAATAATTATAATATAAAGTTAGCATAAATATAAAAATATTAATTTTAAAAGGTTTTTGTGGTTACGTTGCACCTCAATTTATTTATGCAGTATTTATTATAAATAATATATTTGTAATTATACTTTATATATTACAAGATTTTGTTTTAAATATCAGACATGTCACATAATGTAATCAAACCTATTTTTTCTTTCATGATTTATATTTTATTTTCATTTAAATTCTATTTTTTTAGAATAAAGACATAAAACTTTTTTTTACATTTCTTTTGTTTTACTCCTATTTTAGTCTTTTTCTCTAAACTATTTTGACTTTCAATTTTTTTAAAATAATTAGAAAATTGCAAAAATTTAAGTTATAAAGGGAAAGGTGAGAAGTCTTATATAAAGTTAGATTAATAAAACATTATATGTCACTATTTTATCCATAATTTTGTAATATAGTTTAACATATTAATATTTTCCTGTTTTATCATGTAAATTAATATACAAAATAATTTTCTTATTCATGTTAAAAAGTTGAAGAAAAAAAAATAATGAGTGTGAATTGTAAAAATAGTGAGATGAAAAAAATAATTTATAAACTATAATTATAAACATAACAGTTGTAATAATAATAACAACAATAATGATAATCACATTAAAACTATATCGTTTTTAGAGTAATTGGTTGGAGAGTAGAAAGAGTTTGAAGAAAATGTGAATAGTTAGAAGGAACTGGAAGAAACTAGAAGAAGCTGGAAGAACTAGAAAAAACTAGAAAAAACTGAAAGTTAAGAGTTCAAGCCCCAACGAATAAGCTCTTAAGGTGTGTTTGTGAGTCCATTTGATCCTTATATGTTCCATTAAGTCATATTAGCCATTTGAAACAATTTTTCATAACCGTTATTAAAAACAATTTCAACATTTTTTGTCTTCAACCCTTATGTTATGTCCTTCATCGTTGTAGCTAGCCTCTCTTTTTTTGTCTCTGGTCTTTGCTAGCTAATTGATTCTTCTTCAGCAGTCTGGCGAACCAGTCTGGCGAACCACACAACTGTTAAACCATAAGATAAAGTCTCATCGCAACGTGCTTTCATAGCCACTCTTTCCATCTTTGGAAAACCGACAATCCAACCGGCAGCCTTTGTTAGTCGCCTATTACATACTCATATTCTTGGATAGAGCTATACAAATAATAATAGTAGTATTATATACAGTATATATACGAAGTCAATGTCGAAGAATTTGAGTATGGAAACTAGAATAAGTCTCTTGAAAAGCTAACATTTTGGGTTTTGAACAACCTAACGAAGCATGTCGGTTTTAGTTGGTTTCGGTTACATCGTTTTTCAAGTATACCTATTTGGTTCTGTCGGTTATTATGAGTAATTATTTTATTTCAGTTCTTTCGGTTTTGGACCAAAACTCACTAAAATCGACCGCTGCTCATTCCTACCTAATACGTAGTAGTATAAATTAATTTTGAAAACATTAAAACTAGATGTTGTTAAATAGTTTTTTTCAAACATTAAGTCTAATATTTAGCCAATGTTGATGGCAAATATGCCTTAATTATTGTATGATGAGGTATGTATACGTCTAGATCTGGCAATTGGGTCAATCGATTCGGTTCCTGTTTAGATCTTTCTGGTTCGGATCTCTTTCGGATACGTGTTCTAATTGGTTTAGGTTGGTTCGGTTTGATTTTGGGTTTAATTTGATTCCATTTTTTCTAGTTTTGGTTCAATTAGATATCAGTTTGAGTTTATACTGGTTTGGGTTTATATTGATTCAGGTTTATATCAATTTCAAAAGAAATTCCTTTTGTGTAGTCTCCCCTCTCTATGTGTAAAGGAAGGTATATATGCAAGTGTCACCAATAATGAATCAATATATCCATCAATGAATGTTATGATGTCACTATAATATACGAGTATATATATATACTCCGTGTATATATATATATATATATATATATATATATATATATATATATACATACTCCGTATATATATATATACATCTATAAACAACTACTGAACTACCTTAATTTAAGTGATAAAATAAAGTTTAACCGGTTTGGATTCAATCATATTCAGATTTTAATCGGATATGAATACATTTGGTTTGGTTTTGGTTTGGGTTGGATTATTTCAGATGTTCCGTTATACTTGTAATTAAATTCTTCACTTTTTGATTCGTTTCTGATTCTCTTAGGAATTATTCGATTGGGGTTATCATTTCCCGATTTGTTGGGAGGGTGTATACGACAATCTAATGCCTAGATAGATGTTGACTTTTAGACATGATTAATAATGATGATAATTATTTTAAAATTACTAACCCAAAGAATATAAAAAAAATGCTTACTGTCCAAAGTAGAAATGGTGTTTTCGTCCAGAAGGTCAAATGCCTTCTCCCAAACGTTGTCTCTCTGGCCAATCGGAATCTCTCCGGATCTGACATTGTCAAACTTAAATGTATTTAAAGCCACTAATTTTTTATTTGTGCATTATATAATTACTTTTTTTTTTGAAAATAATGGATGGATAGAGTACGAAGTATTTACCATGACTAAATTTGTATTCTTCTGTTCTACTTTCCTTCTCCCATGCTTTCCATCTTCTCATCTATAATAAATTATCATGCATTATTTTTAATAATAATACTCCCTCCGTCCCGTGAAACCTTTCTATTTTCTTTTTTTATCCGTCCCACAGAACACTTCTCATTTCTATTAAAAAGTCACTTTTACCCCTTACTTTTTCATACCCTAACTATCACATCATACCTTTTTACTAATAATCTATCCATCAAATCATACTTTTACCCATCACATCAAAGGACATTTTTAGAAATTCAATACCAAAATACACTCTCTTAAATCACTCCTAAAAAGCAAATGTCCCATGTTTCACGGGACGGAGGTAGTAATAATAACAGATTAATTAACAAGCGCAGAAAAAAAGGAAAAAAAACCTTGGCTCTCCCCAAAGCTAGAGTTGTAACACAATAGAGCACATGAAAAACTGCCAAAACGAAAATGAATATATGTAACTGATGAATGCCATCTACTGACACTAGTGGCACTTTCCCCTGCATACATCCAAATCATAATATTAAGAATTACACACACACACACATATATATATATACTACGGAGTAATTTTTTTAAATACAGTAATAATTAATAATAATAAAAGAAATCTTCCTCAATAAGAATAAAAAAAGAGAAATGCTAAAGTCACAAACATTTCGGTCACAAAATACACAACCTTGCTATTTGTGCACCTCACTAAATGAATAAAATGATGTTGAATAATTAATAAGTAAACATTTAAATACACAAATGGTAAGTTTGTGTATTTTGTGACCAAAGTGTTTGTGACGATGACTACGATGTTTGATAAGTAAAAAATACTCCCTACGTCCATAAATAAACTTCCCGTTACGCGTTACGATGTTTGACTGAAGTTATTTTCAAATTATTATATATGAAAAATGGTGTAAAATTTAAAAATAAAAATAACATATTAAAAAACTATATCAAAAGATCTACAACTATAGGTGACATAACTTTATTATTTTATCAAATGGGTGACGAAAATAGGCCAAGAAAGTGAATAAATTTTGATCCCGTGAATAGTGAATGAGAAGTTTATTTGTGGACGGAGGGAGTATGAAAAAACCAAAATAGGTGCATATATTATATATAGTGACAATAATGTGATGTGAAAATACGTGTTGGCAGTGTGATGAAAATCTGACGATCGGCGCCATCACTTTAGTGGCCGACGGTGACAAATGGCAGTGTGACAATGATAGTGTGACAATGTGGTAAGTATAACAGTGTAATAATGGTCGTGTCAACTCCTATTTTGATCTTAAAAGACTTTAGACTGTTAAATTTAGTACTCTGTATTTTCATAGTTTTTAAACATATCCATTGGAGTTCTCCCAAAACTATATTTATAATTATTATAATAATAACACTAGTACATACTAATAAAAATAAATTATATGGAAAGGAAAATGATCAGACATAAGTACCCTTATATACTTGAAAAGGCAATGCTAGGGGTATACCAAAGGTGTACCCCATTTGTCCCCCACCACCTTCTCCACCACCCATTTTTATCTACTTTTTATTTATTTAATTTTTTTTAAAGTTCTTGCCCATTTATGTGGTAATGGAGGGGGTGAGGGACAAATGGAGTACACCAAAGGTGTACCCCAAGCATTTTTCATACTTGAAAACATTTGAGATTAATTCTATAAATGTTCTCTAATTATATGTGTTTTTCCTTATTTATTCTCTAATTCTTAAATATTTCATAAATAATCCTTAATTTTTGAAAATTATATCTTAAATTATCTTTTAGACCAAATATGACAAAATATGTTTTACACCGATTATTTCTAAATGTCGGATTCTGGAATAATTTTGAAAAAATATGCATTGAGAATGTAATTTATTTAATAAAAAAAAAATCCAATAAATCCAATGCGGAATAATCGATCGGTTCGAGAATGCATACTCCGTAAATATTACCGTGAGAGTGCATTTGTCAGCTCCGGCAGCAGCCGCCAGATCACGCCGCGTTCCTCCGCCGGCGTGAAGTCTCCGGCGGTGGTTCTTTTCCTCCTCCGACCACCACCACCGCAGCATTTCCAAGTGTTTAGATGTCCCCAACTTCTGTTCGTGCTTTTTGCTGCACGGATGCCACGTGGACCCGACACTTGCGGGGATGCAAATCTTCGAAATTGAGCTTTGCAGCACTGTTAGTAACAGTGATATGAACCCCAACAGCATAAGCTCTGCATATATAAATTTTTTTTGTATAAAAAATAATGTTATCTTCCTCATATAAAACATTTTTCTTTTCTTTTTCGTTCGTCCTAAAAAAAATTTCATTTCTATAAAAAAGTCACTTTTTACCTCTATCAATTCTTAATCTACCTATTACTTCACACTTTTTCACTACTAATCTACCAATCGCATCTACCTTTACCTATCACATCCAATGATATATTTGAAAAGTCAACACCAAAATAGACTCTTTTTAAATCCCTTAAAAATCAAAACAAGAAATATTTTGTGGGGCGGAGAAATTTGTATAATTAGAATCACCGAAAAAATGAAATATATATACGCAAAAAAAATATGAAAAACCTGCTTTGATCTTTTCAAGAGCTTCATATAAGGCCCTTTTATTTTTGGTCTTCAACCACTAAACAAACAAAAAAAAAAGAAGCATATATCAGAGTATAAAAGGTTTCTTAAATCCGAGCCATAATTAATAGAGACTACTAATGAAACTTGGATTATATATAAAAAACAGAACTAATTAAGAGTTAATTACTAATATGAAATGGAAAACCAAGTATTCACCTTTCCTATGAGATGGATTATGTACTCAATTAGAATCGAAACCGCAACCAGAACGAAACACACGGCGGCAACCGCCCATGTCGGCGTCTCCTCCAATGTTCTTTCGCCGCCTCCGCCCCCTCCGGCCATCGTTAACTATATATTACTGCTGTGTTGTTTTTTTAATTTTCCTGTTGGGAATGATTAAATGTATGAAGAATATAATATATAGCAAGTAAGCCAAGGGAGTAGTGAACCATGTTTTTGTTAGTGTAAAAAAGAGATTTTGCTTAAGGTGGGTTAGTTACGTACATATACCGGGTAGAAGTCTTAATTACCTCCGGAAATTCAAATCTTCTTTTACTTTTTTCAGTCTTATTTTTACTTGGATGAGAACTGAAGAGGATGCCCCTCTTGACTTATTCAAAGAGTAGGCAAAATGATGGCCTAGCCCTTCTAGACTTATATATACTTCCTCTGTCCTAGACATTGTAATTTTTAAAGAATTAGAGAAATATACCTTGATGTTGAGTTTCTAAAAATGACCTTTTAGATGTGATGGTAAAAATAGGACTTGATAGTTAAATTAATAGCAATTAAATAGATGTGATGTGATAGGTTATTAGCAAGTTAAGAATTAGGAGTAAAAGTGACTTTTTAATATAAATGAGTCGAGTTTTTTGGGACGGAAGAAAAAAGAAAAAAAATTCAAGGACGGAGAGAGTATACTTCCATATTAGGCTAGGCTTAATGCCCGTCCACCGCCCGAGTGTGACTATCCTTTGTGGCTTCGCCACGTACGCCAACCTTTCACGGGAACACCGCCCTCCCTACCGTGACCAATACCATGGGCCGCGAGTCTCGCCGTGGTCACAGTCACGGTCAATCGGTCATTGACCGTTCAAATTTATTTATCTATTTTTGCTTTCAATGGTAAACTTTGTCCATTATTCAAAAAAAAAGTTAAAATGTAATCAGTAATAAATTCAAATTTGAAACCTACTCCTTTCATCTTCAATTTAAACAACCAATTCTAACTATTTTCAAACACAATCACTTCTTCATTATCTCGGTTGTATTATAGTACAGTATTTCTTTACAAATTTTAGAATTCTACTCACACCATGAATCCAAATAATCCTAATTATTTTTACTTTTACAATAACCGTCCCTACTTCAATCCAATCGATGCGAACGCCGAGAATTTGTTCAATAATTGGTATCGTCCAAATTCCGAGGAATTTGAGCATTAGACTAGCTCCATGCCCACTCTTCTTCTCGAGTGGCTCTCAAGGTTTCACGTTTCCGAACTTCATTCCGGAGACGCAATCTCATTAGATGCCGGAGACGCATCCTCCCCGTGACCAAGAGGACGGAAATCTTAAGGTACGAAGAGGACGACTCTCTTTTCCGAAGCACATCTGTTTTTTTGACTCCCTTTTGCTAAGAACACTTGTTTTTTTTGTTGTTGTGAATTTCAGTTTTATTTTTTTCTTCCAGTTTTAGTTGTGTTTTTTGCAACTTGCAGAGTAACAGTTTTGTTTTTAATTTACGTAGTTTTTTTTTTACCTTTACACTTAATTTTGATGTGGTAATGATATTTCAACTTTCAGGCCGGGCTCTTCCCACTAGAGCAAATTGGTTGCGATCTAGGATGTTATACTCGGAAAGTTTACCCTTTGACCTTGCTAGAAATCAGTTTTGGGTTGAAATTAAATTATCCAATATGGTGCCAGCCACAAGACTAGTGAAGAGAATGCTCACGGCAATGATAAGGATGATGATGATATGGTTGGTACCGGTCCATGGTTGAGGTCTTGAGGACGTACATGGAATTTATGTTATGTTTTGTGAACTCATTTATGCTTTAATATATTTTGTAATGACTATCTTATACTCTCTCCGTTCCACAAAACTTTCCACTTTTGACTTTTGGTAAGAATAAGGAAAGTGTAATTTTGGTTAACTTTTCAATTTTGCCCCTGATGTGATGGGGAAAAAGTAAGATGTGATAGTTTGATTATTAGTGAAAAAGTATGATGTGATAGGTAGGGTATGAAAAAGTTAGGGTAAAAGTGGTTTTTTAATAGAAAGTGGAAGTGTTTTAGGGAATTCCAAAAAAACGAAAGTGGAAGGATTTTGTGGAACGGATGGAGTATATAAATTAAAATTTGGCGTTTCTCTGGCCTTCCTCTCCTCATTTTTAAAAAGTATCTTAGAACACCGACACGTTGTCCCCAGACCACTTGTCATTTGCTTACATAAGAGTTTTCCGAGTTAGTATTTTTTTCTGGATCCGTCAATATACTTAGAGTACAGTATTACTCCCTCCGTCCTAAAATGTTCTTCCCAGTTACTTTTCACACGGTCAAATTTTATCACTTTCTTTACCTATTTTTATTAGATACTTGGTCCGTCCCTGAGTGTTTGTCCACTTTTGACTTTTGGAACTGTTCATCTAAATACTTTGACTCATCAAATTCTCTCAATGTGTAAGCCTAAAAATAGTCATGTGTGATCTTGTTTGATTCGTCTTAACATATAGATTATTAATATATAATTTTTATAATTTTTGAATATACAAATTACAAGATAAAATGGATTAAAGAAGTGCATTGGATGGTGTGCAAAAATGAAAGTGGACAAACACTCAGGGACGGAGGGAGTATTTGATAAAATAATATAGTCTTGTCACCACTTTTTCATACCCTACATATCACATCATACTTTTTCACTAATAACCAAACTATCACATCTTACTTTTACACATCACATCAGGGGCAAAATTGAAAAGTCAACCAAAATTACACTTTCCTTATTTTTGTCAAAAGTCAAAACAGGAAGAGTTTAAAGGAACAGAGGGAGTATGTATTTTTTTTATTTTTTATCGATATACTAATTTGCAAATAAAATGATTTCAAAAAATGAGATATTTTTACTCGTAAACCTCAATTTAGTTACAAATTGAGGAGGGAGGGAGTAGAAGCTTAACCATAATTAGGAAAGTAGTGTCAAAATATAGTCACTTAATTCAGACAAAAACTCTCTAACCCACATAATTCCAAATCCTAATTCTACTCGTACAACTCCGAATTACTTGCCAATCACTCAACTCCGTATGTTCTTATATATATACACTCACTTATAGAAGTCATAGATCGATCGAGTATAAGCAAATACAAGAGGAGGAAAGGCATATAATAATATCTCTAACTAATAATGGGCGTTCGAGATTACGAACCTAATCGTCACACGGCGAAGGGCCCCACCAAACCGGGAAACCGCGGCGGCCACCGACGACCTGCCGCCACGAGAAAGGTTTGGCGGCCGGCGGTTCCGTCGTGGGAGAGGGAGTTCTGCTTGAAGGCGTCCGCGGGGATATACCCCTCGTGGGACAAATTCGTGGAGGCCAAAAAGTACGTCCACCTCTGCGGCGGCGACGGCGTCATGCGGTGGGACGACTCGGCGGCCCGAGACTCCTTCCTCCGTTCCAAGACGTTATTTTACGCGGCCAAGTTCAACGTCCGCTCCGTCCTCGAAACCCCGTCCCCCGTCAGCAGTGACAATATTCTATACGCGGAGGAAGTGGGTGGCGACGGGGGCAATGATTCCGAAGTAACCGACGATCCCGAGCTCTGGGAAGGGTTGGACTCCGTCACGGACGACGGCGGCGGAGAAGAAGAAGAGGTGGCGGCGAAAGAAAATACTACTGGTGAGAATGCGGCGGCGTTATTAGGAGCGGAGGAAATAAAGGCAACGGGATGGGATATTGAGGCGGCGGAGGAATATGATTGCAATAATAATCTTACGGGCCTCGTTGTTGGGGGTCGCCATGGCCAATATTTTTGCTGCTGAATGTAATTTTAACCTCATAAACAATCTGAAATTTGTTTCTATATATCGCCTACTTAAAATCTACGTTTTTTCATCATGAACCAAAGTTTATTCAAAATCTACCTAGCTATATATATAGCCTACTGTAATAATGCTCAAGAATATAATGGGTTATTTGGGATTCTTCAAATTGCATGTCTTTTCTTGGACATTTAAGTGTGCACTATTACGGAGTACTTTTTATACTTTTTAAAAAATTTCTTTCTTGGTTTGACTTGACATGTAGATTAAGAAAAGTTAAAAAGTGTAAAGATTTGACATGTTTTGCGCTTGATGTGATGGAATAAAGTGAATAGTAGTGTAAAGAAAAAGTTGAGGTATAATGGTACATTCATTAAAACCTTTTTGCCAAAACAAGAAAAGAAAAAAAAATTGGGCAATCTAAAAAAAAATAAGAAAGAAATTAATAGACAAATGGAGTAGTATCATTGTAATTGTATGCTTTTCATAAAGTACGTGCTTTAAATTCTCTCAAACTTTTATTCAATTTTTGAAATGTTGCATGGTTAAAACTTTAATAGTTTCTCGGTCCAAAGTGGAATCACCCACCCTAGGCGCCCCTACCCCCTTGCTCGATAGGAATGATGGAAGAAGTAAATCATGGTGACTCGGTCGGCCAAGAACGCTAGACCCGTGCCCACCGCGCACAAGGAGCCTCCTCACCCTTTATGGGATTTTTGGATAGCTCCCACACTGCCGCTTGCGGGACTCGATTCCTGGTAATCTGTCCAAGATTTCACGCTCTTGACCAACTCAGATGCCCATGCGGACTTAATAGTTTCTCTTGATTATATTGAATGGTGTCTTTAACTAAACTTGAATAAAATAAATAAATAAGTTGGAGGACATATAATTGTTACCTGTATAATATATTGTCAAAGTTTTCCACTCCACTTCAGTTGACACGGCAAAATGGGGTATCCCATTTATACACCAGGCAAACACAAACAAACACAGATACTTAGTGTCTGTGGATCACATATACTAATTAAGCGTCTGTGTTTTTTTGTGTTTGCCTGATGTATGAATGAGGTACCCCATTTTGCGGTAACTCTAGAATGCCCCTAAGTTTTATTACTTCGTATTCTATAATTACAAATAATATATGGGCACAACTTCTTTACCTATTACAAATACAAAAATGCTAGAATAATATTCCCTCCCATCCATTCCAAAATCCCTATCGTATTTTTGGTTTTTATTATGGAATTTAAGGAAAAGATATTGTTGTATTATATAACTTTCCAAAAGTATTTTAATTTTGATTTGAAGATAAAAGTAAGATCTGATGAATAAATTATTAGTGAATAATAGATCTGATGTAATAAGTAGAGGTAAAAGTATGTTTTTCATTGGAAAAGAGAGAAATTTTGGGACATGAATATAAAGAAAGGAAAAAGAGATTTACGGATGGGGGGATCGGAGTACGAATTTTGACATCACAAGTGACAATCATTTATAAATTTGTACATACAAGAATATAATTATCTATGAACTCTATGAAATTTAAAAAGATTATATGGTATGTGTTCATATTTAAGACGCTTATCGTCTATAATATCAAAGCTAATGCATGTTTTTCTAGGGTAAATCATTATAAATAATAGAATTTCTTACATAAAATAAAGAGTAGATGAGCTCTATCTTCCGAAGACTTTCTTGGAATCGTCAAGACGTGCCTCACAATAGAATTGCTAATAATCAAATTTGAATTTACTTTGTTTGGCACCGCTTGCACAACCAAGTGAAGTTTGCCAAACTATTCTCTCTTACATAGAACAAAAAAGGATCATACTAAGGGTGCACCTACCCATCTGTACACTTGAGCAACATAGACACATAGGGTTTGTGTTATTCTAGTGTACAAACGAGATATACTCTCTCTGTCCAACAATAATCTTCTCATTATGTTACGATGTTTGACTTAAATTATTATCAAATTATTTTGTATGAAATTTTTTGTGGAATTAAAAAATAAAAATTAAATGTTTAAAAAGTACTCCCTCCGTCCGAATTTTAAGTTCTTAGTCTACGCTTTTTTCCGTCCGGAAATAAAGTTCACAGTCTACGTTTTCATACACAATCTTCCTAAATTACCCCTCCCTCCTCATCCTTTATCTTTTTTTCTCTCTCGGTCTGCCATCCCACTCCCACGCAGGTATTCTCTCTCTCTCTTCTCTCCCCCTTTCCTCTTCCTTTCCCGTCCTTTCTCTCTATTTCCTCCTCCACCTCTTCCTTCCTCCTTCCACTCTTTCTCTTTCTCTTCCTTTCCCCCTTCCTTTTCTTCTCCTCGTCACCTTCTTCCTCCTCTTCCTTCTTCTTCTTCTTCTTTCCTTTCTTTTCTCGCTAGATCTAGCATTCATCTCCCTCTCTCTCTCTCCTCCCATATTTTTTTTCTTCTTTTTTTCGTTTTCTTCTTCTACCAAAGTTGGATCTCGTTTTTTCAGATCTAAAAAATCTGGAGATCCATTTGTGCGGGGTTGCCGGCGATGGCGTCGGCGGTGGCGATGGTGGCGGATGGAGCTGACGGGGGTGGCGATTTGCACCTCCAAATTTGTTTCCTCGAAAGCTCCTGCGGCGGGTGGAGCTGACGGTGGGGGTGCGGCAAGTGGAGCTGACAGTGGGGGTGCGGCGGGTGGAGCTGACGGCGGGGTGCGGCGGTGGAGCTGACGGTGGGGGCGTGGGTAGGGTCAATGGGGCGTTTGGGAGGTGGCGGTGGAGGTGTGGGCAGGGAAGAGCACTGTTGAGATAATAGGGAAGGATGAGGGAAGGGAATAAGGGTATTGTGGACATTTCCTTCCCAAAGTCAATACCCAATAAAAATGACAAAAAGTCAAAATGGGTACTTAAAATCCGGACGGAGGGAGTATATCAAAAGATCTACAAAACTAGACGTTATATTAAAATATTACTTCCTCCGTCCCACTATATTTGTCCACTTTCATTTTTGCACACCATCCAATACACTTCTTTAATCCATTTTATCTTGTAATTTGTATATTAAAAAATTATAAAAATTATATATTAATAATCTATATGTTAAGACAAATCAAACAAGATCACGCATGACTTTATTTAGGCTTACACATTAAGAGAATTTGATGAGTCAAAGTGCTTAGATGAACAGTTCCAAAAGTCAAAAGTGGACGAATATAGCGAGACGGAGGGAGTATTTTATTAAATAAATATTGAAAATAGTCCAACAAAATAAATAAATTTTGATATTGTGAATAATAAAGTACTCCCTCCGTCCCGGAGTATTCGTCCAGTTTTGAATTTTGAAACTGTTCATCTAAGCATTTTGACTCATCAAATTCTCTCAATGTGTAAGCCTAAATATAGTCATGTGTGATCTTGTTTGATTTGTCTTAACATATAGATTCTTAATATATAATTTCTATAATTTTTTAATATACAAATTACAAGATAAAATGGATTAAAGAAATGTATTGGATGATGTGTAAAAATGAAAGGGGAGGTAAAAGATTATTTCCCTGTTTTTTCGGGTACTATTGCTTACAATTATTTCCCTGTTTTTTCAGTAATCGCCTCGTCAAATAAAACCTAAATCGCAAAGAATCAAAGTTTGAATTGCAGGTGACCGCTAGGTTTGGGATTTCCCTCCTCATTTTACTGGTTTATTCATGCTCCCGAGTCAGTTATGAGCAGTGGATTAATGTCCTCATCCATGGAGATTCAACAGTAGTCCATTGTTCGCCGTTCATCGGCGTTACATCTGCGAGTTAAAGGAATGGACGGCGGTGGTGGAGAAAGAGAGCAGAGCTCCGCTCCACCCAAGCCCTCGAAGTTCGCGGTGTATCAGAATCCAGCTCTTTCCGCCGCCCTAACCTCCAATAGCATCCGACCGTCGAAGTCCACCTTTCTGTTCATCTTCTCTCTCTCTTTCGCCTCCGCATTTGCTCTTTTCAGTGTCATCTCTAGGTATGCTTGTATGCATTGTATGGTGTCTGTAGTTCCCCCCAAAAATTAGTTGTCTTGTGTTGCATTTGCTGTTGCATTCTTTTAGCGTGTTAATTCTCGAAATTAGGGTTTTGTAGCACTTTCTTTTCCATTTATTTATCTAATTTATATTACATGTGAAAACTTTAGGAGCTTGTATGATATAGATTTGCACAAATACATTTCCTTTGGGTGTATATTGTGAATTGCAGCTTGTTCTGGGCAAACTATTGGTTGCTGTAGTTATCTAATGGCTTTATTCCAATTTCAGGGAAAATGGAGTTATCAACGTCTTGAAAGTTGGATATGGCCCTGCTCGTAAGTGATGTAGTTCAAAGTTTCATCTTAGTTCGGTAATGCTTAATGCTAAGCAATTAATCGGTCTGACCTTCTCTTAACTTCATGCCACAGGCCTTTTTACCAAAGTGATACAAAGCATTGCCGGTTTTATCTTGATTGGAACTTTTATTGCTCTTGTCAATGCTATTCTGCTATGGAGAAAAAGGAATGCAGTAGAACACATGATTACTTCTCCAGCTAAAGGATCAAAGGAACAGATGCTACTAACTAATCGACAGCTAGGGCTTCTAGGAATTAAACAGAGAGTTGATCATGTCACTGTGGACTCTTCAAAAAAACCTCCCAAGTCCAAAATGGCCTCTCCATTAGATGCCCTTGTCCCAGTTCATCACCCAATTTCAAGTGCAAGTCGTTCAGCTAGACTGAGTAGTGAAAAGTCAAGTTCAGGTGGTGGGTCTAAAATGCATACTTTCAGCACCCCATCCAAGTCACCTACTTCACAAACTCTGAATCTAGGCCATACATCGTCGCAAATGCCTTCTCCCCAGACTTCACCTTGGTCGAACAAGCGAACTTCTTTTCACAAAGAGATAACGACAGAAGAAGCGTTTGAGAAGTTTTTGGCTGATGTTGATGACAAAATTTATGAATCCGCAAGTAAATTGTCTACCCCTCCACCTACCATAAGTAGTTTTGGTGTAGTCAGTCCTAGTAACATGCCCAGCTCATCGAACACTTCTGGAACTCCTAGAAGTACTCCTTTGAGGCCCGTTAGGATGTCCCCTGGATCACAAAAGTTCACCACTCCTCCAAAGAAAGGGGAGAGTGATCTGCCTCTTCCTATGTCAATGGAGGAATCTGTTGAGGCTTTTGAACATCTCGGTATATATCCACAGATTGAACTGTGGCGTGACCATCTTAGACAGTGGTTTTCAACAGTATTACTGAACCCCTTGCTTGACAAAATTGATACCAGCCACGTAAAGGTGTGCTACCTCATCACCTTTCCTCTCTAGTATTTTTGACATGTCTATTTCTGTATTCTATAGTGCATTGAACTTGTTCAAATGGTGCAAAGATGACACTAGTTGACACTTGACTTACTCGTGTACTTCTCCCTTGCTCAAGGCAGCTTATCTTTGTTAGTTTTAAATCGTGCTTATTTTGCTGTACTGTCAGGTTATGGAAGCAGCGGCTAAACTAGGATTTGCAATCACTGTGAGTCAAGTGGGAAGTGAAACCTCAGGTGCTGCAAGTTCTACGGCCTCCACATCTGGGATGAATAATGAATGGCAATCGTCATTTACTCTGGATGAGGATGGTCTTCTTCATCAATTACGTGCCAACCTTGTTCAAACTGTTGATTCTTACATGTGTTAGTTTCTTCTCTTTAAAAAACAAATTATGTTGTCAATAGTATTATTATTGTGTTTCAATGGGTATGTATTGGCATCTTCTTTGGATTTTTATTTCAGCAACATTGAATTCTGGCAATTTTCAACAATCCCCACAGCAGATCACATTGATCCATGCTGTGCAAGAGTGCATCAATGCTATAACTGAACACCAGAGGCTTCTTACTTTGATGAAAGGAGAATGGGGAAAGGGTCTGCTAACACAAAGTACTGTGCGTGCAGATTATACAGTACATAGAATTCGAGGTTAGTGACTTTGAGTGTATCTTTGCTAGTTGATCTCTGATAATATTTATCACGTGAGATAATTTTAAGATAAATGGGGATTAACACTTGGAAGCCACATATTCATTACCAAAATAGGGAATAAAGTGTGAAGTATTTTTTTGGGACATTTAAAAAAGGAAAGTGTAAATAATTTCATGTGAGAGAGGGAGTATAATGATATTGATTCACCCTCCGACCCATTGAATTATTGACACTTTGATGTTTAAGAAAGTTGTTGAAATTAAAATTCCAAGTGTTAAATGGGACGGAGGGAGTATTAATTTTGAGGTGTAGTTTTAAAATTAAAATATAAAGAAATATACCTAAGCAAGACTAAAGCATTAAACTTATTTTAAAATAGGTTCTCTTATGTTTTTATCCCCTAAATAAGAGCGTGACACAGTGTAATGCCACAAGTTGGCATTATATGGTGGCACTTCACAATGTTATTTGGCATTATATATTGACACTCTTTGACATTATAAGTCATATTTTGTTGATAAAAACATTGGGATCCTATTTTTGTCTGGTTGTTATGTTTTAGTCTTTATCCGGTCTCTTTCCCTATAACATATTTGGTTTATATAATTTGTTTATAAACATTCATATATATAAAATGGGGAGATTGACGGGGATATTGGTTCAGTCATTGAGGCAGATGGGGAGATTGATGGGGATGTTAGTTCAATCATTCAAATATATAGGGAGATTGATAGGGATGTTGTTCACCATATTGGAGCCACTTGGGCTAAGTGGAAGATGGCTTCAGGGGACCTATGCGATATGAAGATTTTGACAAAGCCGAAAAGAAATTTCTATCGGTCCATAGTCTGACCGGCTATGCTTTATGAAGCCTATGTTTGTCAACTACATATGGCAAAGATGTGGAATATGTATGGGGAGACGAGGTTGGATAGATAGGATTCGGAATGAGGTTATTCTGGGATGGGTGGGAGTGACAGCTGTGGAGGATAAGTAGTGAGAGGCTAGGTGCCTAGGTTGAGGTGGTTCAGACACGTTAGGCAGTGTAGCATTGAGGTCCGAGTGCGGAGATGTGAGAGGATTACGATAGTGGGCGGGGGTTAGAGAAGGAGTAGACTTAGGAAGAATTGGAAGGAGATGATTAGATAGGATCTTATATTTCTTTCCATTATCGAGTATGCCCAGATAAGAGTGCTTGGAGAGTTAGGATTAGGGTATTTGGGTAGTCGTTTTGGACCTGGGTGGTAGTTATTTTCATTGTGCGTTTTCTAGGCTTGAGGTCATATTGCTTGTGTCGATTTGTGTGCCTTGTATATAACAATTAACATTACAAAAACATGTGCAACACATAGTAGCATTATTTGCAGCCTTAAAAAATGAAATGAAAGTTCTAAATCTACTCCTTTACCAATTTGTTGTGCCCTTTCCCTTTATAGCACTACACTACTACCTTCGTCCCAAATTAATGTTTATAGTCCGGTATAGGATGTCTTTCTAAATTTATTTCAAAATTGGTTAAGAAATAAAAAATACAAATTATATATTGAAAAACTACTTCCTCCGTCCATAATTTATCTTCTCACTTTCCTTATTTGTCCGTCCATAAATTATCTTTTCGTTTCCTTTTCTGTCAAATGCTTTTTCTTTAAACCACATCACTACCCTCACCTTTACCTTTTAATTACTATCCATACCTATACTTTATTTCACTTTTTGTAATGACCCGAGGACAAATATGAAAAGTCAAAACATTTGTTACTTTTCTTTAATTTACATGTAAAGTCAAAGCGGGAAGATTATTTTTGGACGGAGGGAGTACACAAAAAGATCTAAAAAACAAGAGTTGACACGACTCTTTTATTTTATCAAATGAGTAATGAAAATAGACAAAGAAAGTAAATAAAGTTTGGAGGAAGTTATTATTATGTTATTATATGTTGTTATTATCATTTGTCTCTCATATGCATAAATATCAACAACACAATTTTCATTTTCTTAACTTCTGTGCCGTCAAGCCGAACCAACAAATTGGGACGGAGGGAGTGCATTATTTCTACATGCATTGAAAATATTATATGGTGGTGACGAGTTGAGATATTTGACATTGCCATGTCCATTACATGATTGATTTTGCAAGACGAATATGCAAGCCATCCAACTTGACCACCTTTATTTGTTTTCCGGAATTAAAAATTTCAATTTGGAGAATTTATGAAAACACGCCCAAGTAATCATGCATTTGAGAAATGTGTTTCACACTTTCACCTTCAATTTTCAAGAAGATTTATATATTTTTGTCCAACTTTGGGAACATACCTACTATATCTGGCCACTTATTTTATTCCCATTTTTTTTCAAAAACTGGTAAAAACCAGCCTGCTCTCCTAACAGCATCCTTCACACTTATTATCTCCTCCAGAACTACCTTCACACTATCTGTTGCATCCTTCCATGGATTTATTGCCTGTGTGACCCTACCCCCGATCAGTGCCTCTGGACTGCTCCTATTTATTAGTGCGTGTATTCTTTGAAACAACTTCTCTACTCTCTAGATCATGGGTAAGGCCTGCATGCATCCACCCTCCCCACAATCCACTTTGTGGAATTTTGCTGAGTTTGGTGTCGTACATGCGCGTGAACACTCACACACATAGTCCATCTTGCTGGGTTTTGCATCTTTTCTTTTTTTTTCCCGTCCCAAAATACTTCTCCGCTTTCCATTTTAGTAGAGAAATGTATGGTTCACATGTTCTCATTCTTTTAAGCAAATTTCAACCACAATTTTTGAGTTTCTTAATCTCTGTGCCCGAACAAGTTGGAAACCCCCAATGGGACATAGGGGGTATTTTTTCCTGAAAAACGTAAATAAAGTCCTTATATTGTACATTTGTACCTGACTTACACAAATACTGAAATATGACAGATCTTGCTGAAGGCACGTGCGTGAGGAAGTATGAGTATCTGGGCGAAATCTATGATAACTCAAAGAAGTGGACTAGTGATGTTCCTACAGATTCACACCTTCTCTTATATCTCTTCTGTGCTTTCTTGGAACACCCAAAGTGGATGCTGCATGTTGATCCTACATCTTATGCTGGCTCTCAATCAAGCAAGAACCCCCTGTTTGTGGGTGTTCTGCCTCCTAAGGAACGGTTTCCTGACAAGTACATAGCCGTTGTTTCCGGAGTACCCTCTGTGCTTCATGTAGGAGCTTGTGTATTGGCTGTTGGGAAGCAAAGCCCCCCAGTTTTTGCACTGTTCTGGGACAAGAAGCCTCAGTTCTCTTTACAGGCAAGTGATGCCTCCTTCCCGAGTTCCTTCTACTGTGATAGTTTCTTGTTATACACATGCCTTAATATAGGATTAAGCTGCTGAATTTGTTGAAAGTGATGAATTAGTTTAATCTATTGAATTATCTAAAAAATTAAAAATAGTGTCTTGTTAACCACCCTTAGGTCATTGATTAGGGAATTGAACGAGAAATATTTTATATTAAATATCATGGAAGAGTGCACTTATTATGCTATTTCAATGCTTCTGTTTTGTTTCTATAAATAAAGTAATAAATAAACTGTCTTTTTTTAAATCCTTGAACAACTTCCGAGGGCAAGTGTTGGCATTTGCCTTGAGAGAATGTAGTCATGTACTCAAACAAATTAAAGAAACTTAATATCTGAAAATAAAATTAAAAGTATCAAATCCAGTCATTTTAACAAAAAAGAAATGCAATCCTTGCACTGTTTTTTAATATCAGCCAATACACTCACTGCTTTTAAGTCGTTAGTGTATGATCGGGAAAACTGCCTGACTAGCACTCTTGAACATTAGCCATGTGCTTGGTTGGCTCCTCATGGTTTCATGCTGACGTTTGTGTCAATACAACATTTAATTCAGGGAAGAACTGCAATCTGGGACTCGATATTGGTTCTGTGCTATAAGATAAAGGTTGGGTACGGAGGGATAGTTCGAGGCGTGCACCTTGGATCATCGGCATTGGACATTCTTGCAGTTCTTGACACCAAACCAGAAGATTGACAAATTGCAAGGTACGTGTTAAACATCCCATGGTTTTGATTTGTTGGTTATCACACATACATACATGGGCATTGAGAAGCAAGCAAAATCATACTATGATTGGTAATAGATGGGGGGCATTTGTGTTTGTGCCTTGTATGTTGTGATATGATAGCATTAACATGTTTCTTACATCTTTTTGAACAAATTATGGAAAATTTTATGGTATCAATGATAGTTCTATGGATTTTGGTAACTTGTCATCCCTCCCTTGTTTGACATGAGTCACATGATGTTCGAGTGCATTTTGCTTCTTTGGGGTCAAACTTTGCAAATTTTGATCAAAATCCAAGTAGAGATGCATTGAAAAATAAGAAGAAACAACAAGATTTGGCTTAAAAATGCACAATCCAGTGTTATTCCAATTTATCTTGCAAAATGTTTTATGACTTGTTTGGGAATTTAAATTTGGATTTAAATATCTGATTTGAGCTAACTACATTTTTGAGAATTCAAAAAGCTTGAATTTGAGAAAAATTGGAATTCATTTGAAATCTTAGTTTCCAAGGACTACCTTAATACATTTATTTTATCTTAATTTTTTTTTTTATGTTAGTAACAGTTACGGAGTAAATGTTAACCCTTGGAGATTGTGAAAAGGCAAAGTTTTTTTTGAATGTGTGAAAATGGAAAAGTTGACATCATAAAAACGAATCAAAAAGGAAAAACCTTCGAGCTTTCATGGGTACGCAAGTGTGTGTACTAAGAACAACTAACAATTACAGGATCACACTAGAATGGTGATGATTGATGAATTGCTTAACTTTGATTATTCTATAGGCTTAAATATATTGTTTTTGCTCTAAAGGCAGCATTTTTTCATCATTGCAATTTTTCCAACACAATTTTACATGTACTTTCTTTTTCTAATTTCAATAGTTATGTCACCACTAATTTTGTAAATTTTTTGGTGTAGTTTTTAAATATGTAATTTTTTTAAATTCTACACCGTTATTCATATAAAATGATTTTAAAAATAAATCTAATCAAACATCGTAAACCGGAACAGGTGATTTAAATTAGAACATGCGGAATAACAAGGAAGGTTGAAGGAAAATTAAAAATTCGTGATGATGCCAAACACAACAAAAATTATGAAACTTTTTAGAGTTTTGGAGATGAATGTGTAAATGGTACATCTAAATGTATATTTTTCATTGTACATTTTGACTTTTGAAAATGGACATTCTTTAAAAGCAAAATGAACATTTTGTACACGCACAAAATGAGTAGAATAGAAAAATACAATACCGAGTATAATAAGATTAATTCAAATGAACATTTTTTTAGGAAAAATAAACATTAATCAGAGTAATAATAAACATGTCATCCAGAAAATTATAGAAATGACGTGTATGTAAATACATTCGGATGTGAATATTATTGACCCTAAACTGATGACTGAAAACAATTATATAAAACTAATTGATGGGTTAAATTAAAACCAAGCAAATTTAAGAACACCCAAGAAACCCTTGATCTTCTCACATATTTGGACAAACATTTATACTCCGTATTGCTCCTTCCATTAAAAAAAACTCTAGTTATTATTCACAGGTCAAATTAACTCTACTTTTTTATATATATTTTCATCAATTATTTAATAAATAAAATAACCTTATCACCCCTTAATTTGTAGAACTTTTGATGCTTTGAATATATATAATTTTTTTTAATCCACACCAATTTTTACTTATATTAATTTGGAAATAACTTTTATCAAACACTATAAACAAAACTGAAAGTTTAATTTGGGACAGAGAAAGTATATAAATTTACTTTTTTTTATTAATTTACTTACGTATTATATACCTGATTTTGGGCCAGATGGACTATCTACATATTGTATACATGTACTTTGTTTTCTTATACTCCCTCCGTCCATGTATGATCTTCCCATTACGCGTTACGAGGCTTGACCGACTTTATTTTCAATTCAATTTAATTGATTATAGGAGTAAAAATTTTAAAATAAAATTTATATATTAATAAACTACATGAAAAGTTCTACAAAACTAGAGGTGACAAGACTATATTATTTTATAAAATGACTAGTAAAATTAAGCAAACAAAGTGAGTAAAGTTTGACCCTGTGAATAATGTCTGAAAAGATCTATGGTGGACAGAGGAGTATTAACTTACGTGAGAAATTTTATTATCCATACATTTTAGATACACATTAGCATGCCAAAATTAGGGGCAACGACTTCAACAAAACAATGTGAATGAGCACATTACACATAGTACGAAGTGTAAGACTCGTCCTGTTGGAATTTACTACTCATCCGTCCCAATTTAAATAACTTGTTTCGGTATACGATGTTTAATTAAAGCAATTTTTAAATCATTTTATATGAAAAACATTGTACAACAATAAGGAAAAGAAGGTAAATAAATTTCAACTACAATAAACAAACAATTTAATTTAGGACAGAGGGAGTAAATTATGCTGTAAATTACACAAGAATATATGAATTCTAAAAAATAAATTATTTTTCTAATCATTTTATTTGTGTATTTTCAAGCTATAGTTTGCATGTCGAGTTTCTTTAAGAATGGGCTATAAAGTTTATTTGGGTATTTACATTCTTCACAATTAAAAAATCATGGAAACTTTTATTTATTTGTGTATTTTCGTTAATAATGATTAAATGAAATAAAATATTTTTACCACTTCTTGTTCTATACTTTGGTAGAATTTTTTATGTACTCCCTCTGTTCTCAAAAACACTTCCTCTTTCATTTTTTCCACTTCCAACAAAACACTTCCCTTTTCTATTAAAAAACCACTTTAACCTTACTTTTTCATACCCTACCTATCGCATCATACTTTTTCTCTAATAATCTATCCATCACATCTTACTTTTACCCATTACATCAGGGGCAAAATTGGAAATCAACTATAATTTAACACTTCCTTATTTTTGCCCCAAATCAAAATGGGAAGAGTTTTTCCAAACGGAGGGAGTACTTTTTAAATATGCAAGTTTTATTTTATATTCTTATACCAATCTTTAAATAAAATGAATAGAAAAAACTTGTGGTTTTATTTTATTTTTAAATAAATTCTAATTCATTTAGGAACGGAGAGAATATTTGTGTCTATGCTTACACAAATAAACATACACAAATTCTGAGATTTTTTTGACATGCATAAATATTGAGTTGTAAAGTTACAAATAAGTTAAATTAAAATAAAACTTTAGGCCAGGTAAAATTAGGCTCCGAAAGCAGAAGAGAAACAGCTCAGTAAAAAATGAATGAACTTTTGATTAGTTGTATAAAAAACCATGTACAAAAGGTTAATCAGAGCTAGATGTTGTACTCACAAACAATACCTTTCTCTTCTGCAAAACAGTTTCAGCAACCAGCAAGCAGGCTCTCTCTTCTCATTCAGTGATTATATATAATCCCAGAAAGAAAAATTCATGACCGGCCCGATTATCAGAGCAAAACTAACTAACTAAATACCCCCAAAATGAGAGGAAAAGAAAGGCATTAACGTACGAGTGAGGTGCTTCAGAAGTATAGTCGTTGCGGCTAAGATGTTAGAATGTATAGCTTACGATCAAAGTAACCTGCGAGGAAACAAAAGGATATAGTTGCAGTAAGAATTCAGAAACGAATGAAAGAAAGAATGATAAATCAGAAACAATGTTACCCTCAAGCGTTTGACATTAAGTCACATTATAGAATATGTTTTATATTTTGCAAGTTTAATCCCTTAACTGTTATAATCAAGAATATTTGGCCCCGCCTGTATAAATCACTGTGTAGTATTCTGTACCATGCTTTATAGCTGCATTTTCGGCAACATGGAATGTACTCCCATTTATGAGTGTAAATAGTGATTTATAGGAAGGGACTAGTTGTACCTAATTTCTAAAACAACTACCGGACTAAATGTGTGTGCCATTTCCCCAAAATTTGGAAAGTAAATTAAATGAAACTTGCTTTATTTCAGAGCTCACCTGTGGGTTAGTCATAAGGAGTTCCAAAAATGATTTCGAGCAGACAAGTTGGGACGATCAACATTCTTGAGCAATCTGTAGATATATATTACATTCCATGGCCAGGGAATAGTCAAATATGGATCTCCAGATAATCCAGTAGACTATTTTTGAGGAAAAGAACAGCCAATTCTTGTCTGCAGATCCCCTATGCAGAATCAGAACAATAATTATTTTAGTATGGTCTTGGTCTTGGTCTTGATCTTGCAGAACGACATTTGCGAGGAAATGAGAAAGGGCTGCCTGGTCCTCCTCTGCTCGTCTTATTGGATTTATCATCATTCAGTGGAGCTGTACCAAAGAGGATACATGAGTTTATTTCATTTCAACTCAAAGACAACTTCAAGTTTATTTATCTTTATTGCGTGCCCCATACAATTCCTTTCTATGAAACAAAAGATTAAAAAAAAAGAATTAGACTACTCCCTCTATCCCATAAAAATTGTCCCAGTTTTACTTCTCGTAGATCAAGAAAAGTGTTAAAAAGTGAAGTGTATGGTCAGAATTTGTTTAAAACAGAAAAATGTTGCGAGACACATATTCTTTTGCAAAAAGGGAAATTAAAAAAGGGAAGATTCTTTTGGGACAGATGAAAAGGGAAGTGTTTGATCACGAGAACAATGAATTTTACTACTATTCTTAAAGTTCATGCATGGTATTCTGACCAGTTAGCAATAGTCCTACAAAAAACAGTCAACAACCCATAGCAATGTATATATTCAGAGGCAAGGGTAAGGGAAAGTATACTTATGTCCCCGCTCTGCAAATATAGCAGTGTCAGCCAATGAACATGATGCATGAATTTTTAGAATTTAATTGCAGTTTGCTGACCTGAATTCAACCCATTCACAGCTATGGGATTAGCAGTAGCCTCATCACCTCTACTCCCAAGTGCAAGTGAAAACCAATCCTCAGTTTGGGCACCATATGTAACATCCCTCTCATTAGGGTCTACTATGGATGATGCATCTGATGGTCTAGTTGGAAGAAATATCTGAAGAGAAGGATCGGCAGCACCAAATGACAAGGAATCACTTATATTAGCATTAGAATGATCGATAGAAGATTCAGTCGCAACACCAATTGATCCCAAATCTGTGGAAAGCCCGTAGCCATTAATGGGGTTATGCTGCACAGCGGCATCATCCGCAT